TCTCCACGTCTGCATGCGGCGGCGATTGCATAGAGTCGTGTCTGGTCACGGACAATCAAGTTGCTCGTGGCATTGATGCTGGCCAAGACCGATGGCTGCAGTGGCATGGCGCGTGCCCATGTTTCCTTGATTCTTGGTCGAAATCCTCGCGTGCGATACCTCTGTGCCAGATCAGCTTACCACACCTCATCGCTGGCACCAATTGGCTTGTTTGATTGGCAAACGATATATGTTGATATATACTCCACGACACAAGTGTATAGTCAAAATAACCTGTCTCAAGCACCGGACTAAGCATGACGTGGACCTTAGCTCACGCACGAGCCTTTGGTTGGTCGATATGATGTCGTTTTGCTCAGCGTCGTATTTGGTGGCGCCGGCTTGTATTGGTAGTTGTCGATCCACGCCACGACGCGCAGCGGTATAAGAGCGTGGGGCAACATCGATGGCACAAGATCGTAGACCGAAATGATGCTAATTGCACTGTTGACCGCTTGGACGCTCGCGTCGCGCGCACTGCCAGGCGTGTCCTTGGCAACTACAGCAATTTTATAGGTCACGGGTGCTTCCTTGACCATCGCGTGCCCGAGGAGCGCAATCGTGCTTGGTTTGGCGAAGATCTTGGCGCCATATTTGATGCAGTCGTCTTCGTACAAGGGCAGCCCCGTCACATACGATGGCATGAACTGGGTTGCCAAGTATTCGTTTCGTGCAAAGTAGCGCATATCCAAAAGAAGACGGCGTTTCCGTAGCATCGGCACCAAAATACTGATCCCCAGCGACCCGAAGAGGCACGCGAGCACCGTCGACTGCAAGAGCGATGCGGCTGTCTGCACCTCCAACGATGCAAACGCGCCAAGCGCTAACGCCTCGGATCGATTGCCAATGTTGGGCATGTACACAGCTACATCCGACGCAACCGGGCGGCGCCACAACGGATTCTGGAGTGTCGCCGCCACGTCCTGGTATCCACAGCTGACAATGACACTCGAGAACAGCGTCCCAAGCATCAAAAGGGGCGACAAAATTCGAATCGCGCGGCCGCGACAGCACGGCGGAGTGGGCATCCGCTGGAGAACGAGGATGCAGCAGTAGATGGCAAAGACAGGGAGGCCACTCATCATGAGAACGGCAATGCAGTGCACGTTGAAGCGACCCGTCGTGTCCAAGTAGAGTCGCGTGACCTCGACATACGCAAGCGACGGAAGACGCACAAGCACCAGCAGCACCAGCGCGAGTCTTCGGCGCTCCAAGCCCGAGACAAAGTCAAACGTGAGCGCGGGATGGCGGTGCAACACGCCGTTCCAGCCAACAAGCGTGAGAAAAAAGTCGCCGTTGACCAAGTGCAAAATGGTCGGTACAAGAATGGCTTGGAGAATCGAAATCTCGAAGCTGCGCGCCACGGTATGCGAGCACGTCCAACCCACTTGCAGCGTTTTAGAAGAGGCCACGCCGGTAAACACTGGCTTCAGCGATGCTGATGTAGTATCGACGAGGACTTCAGCTACACAGCGATAGGTAAATTCATATCGTGGCCCGAGGGGGTGCGACACAAACGGCCACGTCGAGTGGTTGAAGTTCGAGCGCGACGCTGTCTGACCATCGGGGGTGAAAAGCGTTTTGGTGACACTACCGGCCACCCTTGTCATGGCGCCCGACGAGTCGATGCGGGTTTCGATGGCGCTGTCTGCGCTGTCCATGTAGCTCGAGAGTAAGAAGACGGGCGTTGAATTGTTCATCGCTGTCTCGAGGAGGGCAAGCCCGAGGACGGGCGATGCCACGGACGACGGAACGCACACAACGGGCGGCGCCGATTGCAAAGAAAAAAGCAGCAAAATCGCACCAAACCCGGCGTTCGCGCCCATGACGCAGGTCGTGACGTGCATGGGCGTCGATGGCAGTTGTTGCACGAGTGTCTGTGCAATGCTGTGCATGGCACCGGTGATGGCTCGTGTTTGAGTACACGTCATTGCGTCAAAGCCGGCAGTAGTGAGAACGCAGTTGGCTTCGAGAAGCGACCAGTCGCGCGCAAAGGCTGGCAGCGAAGTGGTTAACTGTCGCTTCCAGAGGCCCGTCAAGTAGAGAACGCCGATCGACGAGACAAAGAGTACTACGAGTAGAAACTCGGACGAGTTGAGCACGAGGCGGAGCAAGACCGTGCGTGGCGGCACTGTTGCGCTGCGCTCGATCGACTGCGCTTTCTCCGACTTGTCGGCCGAGTAGGTGCTGGAGCGGCGGGTGCGAACTCGGAGCAACATCGACGTCATGAGGCGCTGCAGCACCATACTTTGTCTAGCAAGGGTTGTGAAACGGCGGCTAAATACAACTAGACCAAAAGGTGCTGTCAAAAGACGCCCTTTAGAGGGTTTGTAGGACCCGTTTGTTCGCAGCTACGTCGAATGAACTCACGAGCGAAGCATCCTGCAATGTAGCGTCACTTCGCAAGACGGCATTCCTCTTCAAGTTGATTTAAAACTCAAAACCAACTCGACGCCGCCCAGTGCCAGACGTCTTGTCGTGTCCATAGTAAGAAATACCGATTTCATTTTCAGGATTGACGATACTAGATTGTGCTTGGTGGTCGTGTTTCTTCCGAGACGTCAACTCGGACGTGAACGCTGTACGCAAGACGATCTAGAGCCTCCTCGAGAGTCTTCATATGTGCTGTTGGACGGGCGAGCGACGGTGGTGCTGTGCTCAATGGCAGCTCGCTCATCTTGGACGTCAGTAGCTCCTGGAGCGCTCTTAGCTCCGAGATTACGTGCACCTCGTCTGACGGGGGCGGTAGTGGGACCTTCGGGCCTTTTCGCTCGTGGGCCGACAGTAAGGCTTCGCGCAACGTGCAGAGCTTTTGCCACCGCTGGCGCCATGCGTTCGAGTCGCAGGACGACTCAACATCGGCTTGAACCAGCGCTGGGAGAACGTACTCGAGCTACATGCACTTTAGATGTTGCTGCGAACACCAACATAACATATACCGCCAGAGAGAGAAACCGACACCGCGGCGGGTTCACGTGTTCGTAGAGTCGAGCCGCCACAAGACCAAGACCCGCATGAAAGGCGGCGAAACTACACTCGCCGCGTGGTCACTACACAGCATACTGGGGCGTGTGGAGTACCTGACCGAGTGGGACGACGTGCCCGTGTCGCTGCTCTGCGCGCACTACCAGCCTCATGTTTAAAGGAACGCGTCTGTGAACTCGTGTTGCTACCCTCATTTGACGAAAGATGATGTCCACGTCGACAGTGGAGAGGTGGCGTGGATTGCCCGCCTAACGTTTGGTTTGCAAATGCAGCTGACCAGATAGAAACCCTAACCTCGCAGAGTCCGAGATCGCGCAAGCAATGCACAAACGAGAGGTTGCTCATGCTAGAGTGACCTCGTGTGCAATAGAGTTGGAAGAGGCGCTAGCCATTTCTCTGGATCGTGTAACCAAGTGGATAGCTTGTACCTCGAGCTCCGGTGCGAGCTGTTCGACGTGGGCCAGTAGGTCCATATCTTCGGTGAACGAAACAGCCTCGTTTGTCGGGACTGCGTCGCGCTGCTTCTTGGCGTCGCAGAGACATTGTCCATTGTTCTACGTCAAAATACACAATGCGCCAAATCAAACAAAATGCAAAAAATACTTTAAACACGGCGCTGTTCTCGTCCATCCAGAGCAAAAGCAATCGGACCTTGTCGTTGTCGTCAGGATACTGGCCGTCCCACTCCTAAGATAAGAGATCACCTGGTGTTCGGGCTGTAGCAGAGACTTCGTACCGGCCCGGAGAAAATTAGCTGCGCCGCCTTCCCTAGCGCTGATAGAAATCCAACGTAGTCCATCTCGTTCTTCTGATTGCTGCGGCCGCGGGGTGTGTAGAGGCGCAACACTTGTGGCCGCGAGACCAAGTCCTATATCCAGTCATTAGACCACGCGTAGATAAATGTCGTGATACAGGGCAGATGCGGTAGCGTTGCAGGAGCTGGAGAAAGCCCTGGACGCTCAGCCGGTGCCCGGCACGTTGGGCGTAGTGACGCGGCTGCGTCCGCGGGTTCACGCGCACTGTGCCGACGCCAATTGCATCCAGGAAGATGACCTGCAGCGCAACCGCGTACTCGTCCAGCACGTCGGCCATTTCGCTCAAGCGTCGCGGCGGTTGCACTTGCCTTTGAGATATGGTATCAATATTTCGAGTTGACCGCGCGTTGATTGGCTGTCTCACTCAAACAGTTGCGAGCATCACGAGCAAGGCAACGTCCGCTTGGCCCTGTGCACACGCAACACATTCAAAATTGGAAATTTATCTGATGTCCCAGTGTTCGCCCAGCCTCGAAAGCGCAGTACAACTGCGTGACTTCTTGTCATGAGCAGAGTTGGAGGCTTATTTCGACCTTTCTGTGACGATTGGACGCACCAGCCATAAAGTTCTCAGCGTAGAATAACCACATTATCGTCGATTGCATCTTTCTCAATTGCCCTAGGTACATGTATGTCCATCTTGGATGTGGGAGAGCAGCTTTGTTCGTTTCGTTTGTTGCCTATCAAGCTCATGACGTGGCAGTCTCAGGGGTACGTTTCACAATCATAAAAATACGCATCGCTAAAAATACGCCACACGGGCGCACCCTGCTTGACCAGGTCGAAAACCGATTGCAACGTCACAAGCAGCTCGTAGAATGCCCAGCGTCACGGCGTCGCAGCGCTTCCAGAACGCGGGTCCGACGTCGCTCTCGCAGTGGCACTCGGTGCAGAACGCGTCGGCGTCCAGCGTGAATGCGTCGAGCATCGTGCTCTCGTTGCGCAAGCGCCTCGAGGCCAACGGCGGCGTCTACGGCTTCACGTCCTTTCTGAGTACAATGAAGCAGTTTGGCGGGAGCACTCAAACGCTCTCGAAACCGCAGCTCAAGAAACTCTGCGCGGCCCACAATATTGCGATCTCAGACATTGTACGACAGACCCCGAGATGCATATCTCATCATGAACGCATTAGGAGGTGCGATCCCTCGTTCTCTATGTCGGTGACGACGACAACACGGCCGTGGCCTGTGCGGCACTGCGCGATCTACTTCTGGTACTGCCTCCACACCGCATGAAAGCTCATCAAACATAAATCAGGGAAAACTCGACGGGCCGCGCCTCGACCTCGTCACCAGCGCCTTTCAGCGCCTCGACAGCCGCGATAGAGGCTATGTCGCAGTCGAAGACGTCCTTCGATCGCACGATGCCGGAATGCACCCGTCGCTTCTCTTTTCAAAAACCGCCAGCGCCAGCCAAGTGCAAAGTGACTTCACCAAAGCATTCACAATCCTCTGCCCGCTTTGCACGCTTGTGAGTCTAGCGCAATGGACCGAGTTCTTTCAATGCGTGAGCGCAACCATCGAGAAGAACGACTTTTTCGAGCTGCTCCTCACACGCGTCTGGCACGTCTTGCCGCCGAGCAACAACAGCAGCTTAAGCGAGATGGCCCGTGCGCAACCTGCCTCGACGACAGCAAACACACTCCTCTCGGACCTCTCGTCACGCAACCTCTTGTCGACCGCGATGGACTTTAGCTCCAAATCCAAGACCTTCAACTACAATGGTGACGCGTCACTGGAAGCCACGAACAACAACAACAACTATGGCAACAACAACAATATCAACAACATGGGCGCGTACCAATCAACGTCGAGCATTGACGTCTCAGCGGGCAAGGTCTCGCGCATGACGTCGCGCAACGCCACGCTCAATAGCGTGCAGACCGCTGCGTGCATGGCCCACGCGACGTCGGACCGCAACGGCCTCTTGCCCAAGCCCAAGGACATTAGCATCGGCACCAAGATGATTCTCGGGCGTCTCCGTGCGTCGCTCAAAGCTCGGGGCGCCTCGGGCATTGTCGGACTCTCGCGCAAATTTCGGCTCATGGACGAAGACGGCAACGGGTCCATCGATTTGGCCGAGTTCAAACGCGCCATGCGTGACAGCGACGTCGACTGCAGCGACGCCGACTTGCGGCTGCTCTTTGATGCCTTTGACGCCGATGACAGTCAGTCGATCGAGTTCAAGGAGTTTCTCAATGGCGTTCGTGAGCCCATGAACGCACGTCGCCTCGGGCTCGTGCACGCGGCGTTTCAAAAAGTACGTATTTTCCATTTGCGATAGTGGAGGCTAAGAAATGATTGTTTAGCTCGATAAGAACGGCGACGGGGTCGTGGACCCGTCCGACATTGTCGGCACGTACGACGCGAGCAAGCACCCGGATGTGATCGCAGGCAAGCGCACCCAAGACGACATCTTTCGCGAGTTCCTCGACACATTTGACGTCGACGTCAAGGACGGCAAGGTCTCGCGCGACGAGTGGGAGCACTACTACCACAACATCAGCGCGTGCATCGAGAGCGACGACTACTTTGAGCTCATGATGCGCAACGCATGGCAGCTCAGCGGCGGTGTGGGCTGGGCTGCGAGCTCGTTCGAGCAAAACGGATCGCGTGGCTGGCGGCCCGACGTCGAATCCAGTCAGGCGCCGCCCCCACCACTACCGCTTCGGCGGTACGGCAATGCCAGCGCGGGTGCCACGTCGTGCCTCAACGTCGAGGCGCCATCGGCGCTGAAAAGCACGACGCCCGTCGACCTCCAGCACCCGCGTGAGCTCCGGCGCATTGTGAAGCGGCTCAAGACGACGCTCAAATCACGGGGTGCGCGCGGCTTTACGGGCTTGAGCCGGTCGTTTCGAATCATGGACACGAACGGGTCGGGCACGCTCGACATGCAAGAGTTCCGCGCGGCGCTGGACCACTTGAGTGTGCACTTGAGCGCCAATGACGTGGTGACGCTCTTTGACTACTTTGACGCGGACGGCAGCGGCAGCATTAGCTTGACCGAGTTTTGCCGCGGCGTGCGCGACCCGATGAACGAGCGGCGCATGGTGTTTGTCCGCATGGCGTTTGACCTTATGGACGTCGACAAGAACCACGTGATTACGGTCGAAGACGTCGTCCAGCGCTACGACGCCAAGAAGAACCCCGAGGTCATTGCCGGTCGCAAGACCGAGCGCGACGTGTACACTGAGTTTTTGGAAACGTTCGAGGCGTCGTCACGTGTCCACGACGGCCGCGTCACGCTCGACGAGTGGACCGAGTACTATGCCAACATCAGCGCGTCGATCGACGACGACGACTACTTTGAGTTGATGATGCGCAACGCGTGGCACATTTCGGGCGGGGTTGGGTGGTGCGCCAACTCGACCAACCGCCGCGTGCTAATCAACGACAATCAAGTCGTCGAGGTTGAAAACGACCTTGGACTCCACGACACTGCCGCCATTCACGCCCAGCTCGAGAAGAAGCTCGGAGCGAAAGCCAAGCTCTCGTTCTACGACGTTCTCGACCACTCGGTGCGCCCCGTCGAGCGCACCACGCGTCTCCGCAGCCAAAACAACACGAGCAGCGGCGCCGCCAATTGCCTCTCCATGGGCCATGCAAGCGACATGCCGTCCAAAGCCTCGTCGACCAAGCCAAGCGTCAATGCCAGCATGGCGCCTGTCGGTGTCCAGCCCATATTGAGCCGGCTCAAAGAGCACCTCAAACTCCGGCCGTCGAACGGCTACATCTCGTTGCACCGCGCTTTTCGCCGCATGGACACGGACGGTGACGGTCATCTGAGCATGCTAGCGTTCAAGCGAGCGTTGGCCAACTTTGAGATTTCAGAAGTCGACGCCCGCATTCTTTTCCACTACTTTGATGTGGACCACAGCGGGTCGGTCGAAGTGGCCGAATTCATCACGGGGCTCCGCGACCCGATGAACGAGCGCCGTCTTCGGTTCGTGCGCACTGCGTTCTCGCTCATGGACAAGGATGGGAATGGCCTCCTTGAGCCGGCCGACATTGTCGAGGCGTACGACGCGAGCAAGCATCCGGACGTCATTGCCGGTCGCAAGACACCAGACATGGTGTTTCGCGAATTTCTCGATACGTTTGACGTCGACGGCATGCACAACGCAGTGATTACGCCGCTCATGTGGGAGCACTACTACGCCAACATTAGCGCCGTCATCGACGACGACGACTACTTTGAGCTCATGATGCGCAACGCGTGGCATATTTCCGGGGGTGTCGGGTGGTGCGCCAACTCGACCAACCGCCGCGTGCTTGTCAACGACACGGAAGTCGTCGAGCTGCAAAACGACCTCGGGCTCACGAGCGGCAACTTGCGGGCGCGCCTCGACCAGCAATTGCAGTCCAATATGAACTTGCCGGGTACGATCAAGACGCTCAATTCAGTCAACGTCACGGCGTGCCTCAACCATGTGGACGCGCTGCCACCAACGAAATCGGCGAGAACGAGCCCACCCAAGCGCATCTCGCTTCAAACCATGACGTCGACGCCAGCAAACACGACGCCAAATGCCTCTCGTGAGCTGTCACCTGACACGATCGATGGGCTTTGGGGCGCACTGCGCCATGGGCTGCGTCGTCAAGGCAAACTCGTGATTGTGCAAACGCGCCGCGCTGTGCAGAGCGCGGGTAAGTCGATGACGCCGGACCAGCTCCAAAGCGCCCTCGCGGCCGCATCGCTTCCTGTGGCGCTACCCATTGTGCACGCGCTCATTTCGGACCTTCGGTCGCGCAATGGCAAGCACAACAAGTGGGACGCGGGCGATGTCGCGACACCAAAAGCCCCGACGGCAGCTGTCTGGAACCAGTTGAGTCCCCCGGTGGACGGCAGCGTCTTGCGCATGGCCAAGCGCATCTTTGCGCAGCTTCAAGTCGACGGGAAGGGCGATGTGACGCCGCTCCTGCTTGCGCGAGCGTACGACGCACCAAGCCACCCGGACGTGGTCTTGGGCTTGGCGAAGGCCGACGACAAGTTTAAAGAGTTTGCTGCGTGCTTTGACGTGGATGCGACGGGCCACATTTCGTTCCAGAGCATTGAGACGTACTGCAGCGACCTCCTCGCACACGTTGGTGACGCCGCCCACTGCCTCCAGATCCTCCGCGACTCGTTCCATGTCGATATTCCGCCGTCTTTGTAGATTCCATTCGATTTGCATCCGTAATCGCGCGAAAAAACTAGTTTGAATGATGGCGACCTACGCACTCAGTTCTGTGTGCCACAACGATCCCCGAAACCGGCTTGTCTCGGTTGTCTGCTCGATGGCGTCGAGCGGATTTTTGAGCCCAAAGCTCGACGTGCTTCAAGTTGCACTCCACGCTCCAACGACAGACCGTTACTAATGACGTGGCACGCTCAGCGCTCAACTACATGCTGCGCACAGCCTCGTAGCGGGCCTCCACATGTCGATGGCACGCCGCCATGTCAATGTCATTGTGTGTGGCCGCAAAGTGCATGGTGCGGATTATGAATTGGCCACGCTTGACGAAGGGCGCGATGGCGCTCGACGACGCAATGAACGCGACGCTGCAACAGCTCGTCGACGACAAAGTACTCGTCGGCGACACGCGGGCCGATGTCGCCCGCCTCTATGCGTTTAGTCCAGGCTACGCGTGCATGGCGCCAACCAACCAGGACACGCCGTCGATGTTTCTCGCACATGGTCTCGCCAAGCGCTATACGCCCAAGGGCGTCGACCAGTTTGCAAAGTATGGCGCGCACGTGCTGCAGCAACGCACACGCCCGTACAACGTTGTAGCGTACTCAAACGCGCGTCTCTTTCCCGAATGGCAGTTTGACTACGCATGACGACTTCTGTGTCCTTTGCGTTGATGTGTCGTTTCGTGACGTTCTTCCTTTCCGATCCGCCATGTTGAAGTTGCAGGTCTCGAGCGGAGCGTGCCACGTCATCTGTAACGGCAGGCAAGACGATTATCTCCTCGACTATTTAGACTGTCGGGGCAAGAAGACTCAAGGAACTTCGAAAGAATGATCGTGTGACGCATTGCATTTCGGCGCCAACGAGCTCGGCAAGCATCCTTGACCAAGGACGAGCGCGGACGACCTTTTCTCGAGAGCTCTGCGAAGCCATACCATTGCTCAAGGGCACGCCCAACGACATTCTGCCCGCGGTACTCAGCGGCCGTGTAGTCGGCAAGGAAGTAAACCAGACACTAATATTCCCAAACCAACCTAAACATGCTCTTTGCCACGAATCTAAATTGAAATGACGTGAAACACACCAATGTGGTGGTTTCCTCGGTCGCTTCGTTTCGGCCAATTGAATATTCCCGTGAACACGAGCGTTTCACAGTGGATCCCTGCGCGGCGATTGGTTCCCGGTTCACAAGAATTCGCATACATAAGTTCATGTACCCTCCAAGTAGCCACATGCCGTCGCGTGGCGATCATCAACTCTACTTTTCTAAGCGAAATATCCCAAATCCTCGGAACCTGCCTCGAGCCTCGAGGATTACCACAGTCGCGATCAATCGAGTACCAGCAGCATGTTGCGCCGCCTTCTGCCCCGTCCTCTTGCCGGCCGGCGCCTCTACTCGAAGCACCTCGGCGTGCTGCCCGAGGTCCCGCCCGAGTGCCTCCAGGCGCGCTCGCCGACACTGGACGTGCCGCCGATGCTGCACTCGTTCACGGAGATGTTCCGCAGCATGTCGCCGTACATCAACGTCCACCGGGGCACGAAAGTCGTCATCCACCTCTGCGGCGCGCTTCTGGCCTCGCCCAACTTTGCCGCGACGATGCAAGACATTGCGCTTCTCAATTCGTTTGGTATTCAAATCGTGCTCGTCGCCGGCGCCCGACACCAGATTGACGACCGTCTCGCAGCGCGTGGGATCGACAATATCGTGCACAAGGGCTGGCGCGTCACAGACCCGGACGTCTTGACTGTCGCCATGGAAGCCGCGGGGTGCGTCATCAATGTGTGACCGACAGACTACCTGACATGATGCAGGTCGGTCCGGTTCCAGATCGAGTCGGCGCTTGGCCGAGGCATTGTCAACGCGCCGGGCGACAAACAAGCCATCAACATTGCGAGCGGCAACTACGTCTTGTCCCAGCCGCTCGGCGTTCGCGGCGGCGTCGACTACAAGGTACACGCCTGCCTTTTCCAGCGCGAAACTCACAAACCGGCCTAGTACACGGGCGAGGTGCGCCGCGTGAACGAGCCCAAGATGGTCAAGGCGCTCGACAGCGGCGACATTGTACTCCTCTCCAACATTGCCTACAGTGCAAGCGGCGAGGTCTTCAACTGCTCGTCCGAGCAGATCGCCGCCAAGTGTGCGATGCAGCTCCAATGCGACAAGCTCATCTTCATGCACGACGGAGAAGAGCTTGTCGACGTTCGCACGCAAAAGGTCGTGCAATCGCTATTGTTGCGTCAAGCCCAGCAGTACCTCGAGCTCACCGCAAGCGACAAGAGGTGCATCGATCCCAAACCTATCCAAGTATCCAATACGATTTTGGATAGTGTGAGCCCCAATTTTCGCCTCTACTTGCGCTACGCGATGAAGGCGTGCATGGGCGGCGTCAAGCGCGCGCACCTCGTGAGCCGCCACCGCAACGGCGCGCTTCTGCAAGAGCTCTTTTCTCGGGACGGCGACGGCCTCATGCTCTCGCGGGACCTCTACGAAGGCGTGCGCATGGCCAAGACCAGTGACATTCGCAGTACGCCTTCCTTCCTGCACCTGCGTTCATCTCCATGATCATGCAGGTATCATGCGGCTCATCCAGCCGCTGCTCGACCAAGACATCCTTGTCTCGCGCACGCAAGAGCAGATCGAGAGCAACGTGCACATGTTTACGATCGTCGAGCGCGACGGCGCCATCATCGCCTGCGCCGCGCTGCAGCCATATGAAAACAACTTTGCAGAAATGAACTGCGTTGCAGTCGACCCGGCCTACCGCAAGCTCGGCAAGGTAGGCGACGCATCGGGACGAGGACGATGCTGACCATTCGTAGGGCAATGCGCTGCTCGGCTACATTCTCCGCAAGTCGCAGGCCATGGGCGTCAAGACCCTCTTTGTGCTCACGACGCGCACGTCGCACTGGTTCATGGAGCGCGGGTTTGTCGAGGCGCAGGTCGAGGACCTCCCGCCGTCCAAGCAAGCGAGCATCAACCGCTCCCGGCAGTCCAAGGTGTACACGATGGACATTAGCGGCTCGCGCGCTGTCGAAGAGAAGGAGCTGCTCCTGCGGCTCTAATAGACCACGCATATTACGTCTTTGTCGCTGTGATGGAGCCTCGATATACAGGTGGCGAGGTGTGTATTACGGTGTCTACTGGGGCGGGTTGCCGGCCATCATGCTGTTCTGAACGCGCTGCATGGTCTCGCCGACCTGGTGGTGCGCCTGCATGTACTTGCCGACGCAGCGGTCGACGCAGCTCATTTCGCCCACGTTGAGGTCGGCGTCATGGAAGCGGTAGTTGCACTTCTTGAAGCACATCTCGGCCATGCGGTTGAAGAGGTCCGTGTACATGGCCATCTCGACCTTGGCCATCGCGACGGGCGACGGGCCTTGCTGCTGCTGCGCGGGGGCGCCAAGACCAGGAAAGTTCATCTTGCGTCGATATCCGGGCACTGGCGGAAAATGGACGCCCGAAATCCAAGCCGGATAATCTGCCACAGGTTATCCGGTATTGGTCCGGTTGCTCGCCGGCTAGCCGAGTAAAATAATCGGTTACACATGACGATTGGAACTCTAGTCGGCTAGCTGATAGTCGGCTCCAACCGCGTCCGGATACGAGATTGCCGTCTTGCGATTGGCGGCCACATTGGGTGCAATAGAAAGGCAGCATTTGGACGACGACGACAATGGCGCTCGCACACAAGGGCTGCCGCTGGATCGTGCTTGGCTGGTCGGCCTTCATCGCCGAGAACATTGCCTTGTCCGAGTTCAAGGAAGAGATTATCGCGAACTTTGGCAAGGACAAGTACCGCCTTGCGTACTCGACCTTGTCGACGGGCGCGTGCGCGTCGATCGCGTACGGGTACCTCGCCCATGGCCGCCAGCAAGGGCCGCTGGTCAAGTCGCTCGCCAAGAAGTGGCCGCTGCCCGTCTTTGCGATTCAGGCGCTCGGCCTCGCGGGTATGTTGTCGCTGGCGTTGCCCAAGCTCCAGATTCCGCTCTCGGTGCAAGCGCTGGAAGACGCAACGTCGTCGGCGCTCGAGAAGAAGGACAACATGACGTTCACGGTGCAGTGCCCCGTGGACTTTAAGGCTGGCAAGATCAACCTCCTTGAAGTCTCGCGCTATCCGATGCTCTTTGCGTTCGGCTTCGCGTCGCTCGGCACAAGTCTCGCGTCGCCGTACCTGTCGCTGCGCCTCTTGGCCGGCTTTCCGATTGCGATGGCCGTCGTTGGCGGCATGCACCAGGATCGCCTCCGCCTCCGCTCGGGTGCGCTCGACAAAGAGACGTACGAGAAGACGAGCTTGCTGCCGTTCGTGGCGCTCGTGCAGAATGGTGGCTGGGAGAACGTCCAAGTGCCGTGGGTCAACGTCGGCCTCGGGGTCTCGGTCGCGCTCGTGCTCGCACGTCGCCGTGCCGTCGCGCTTCGGGCATTCAAGCTCTAGAGCTTTTGTAGCATACTAACGGCAATAGACGCTACCTTCCGTTTGTACACAAACGTTTCTTCCCCAAGTCTTGAGCAACCGCATGTGTGTCCCTTTTGAATTATGATCCAAGAATCAGGTGGGAAAGGTCAGGGGTACATAATAGGGGGTGTATCACCCTACAAACTTCAAGATATTTTTATTCAAAATCCGCGAACAGTGTCGCGGGGGGAAACTGCCCGATTTGGCTCGGAGTGGAGGAGGAAATTTCGCTGGTCAAACCTAACACTATTTCACTGATTTATGATAAAATAGAATAGTGTATGATAAATCAGTAGCGAAAATGGACCACCTTCGAGGTGCGAGTTGAGGATATGTACGGTCATGTACAGTGATGAGCTTTCTAGTGTACACTGCCATCGATGTGATGTAGCACATATCCAAAATTCAGGCTGACGACGGCTTTATGTACGCGATAGATCGATACCAGAAATGCTCACTTTAGAAGCAGTACTCTGCCCAGTTTTCCTCTTGAACCACGCATCGTACAAGAGATTGAAACATGATGGCCCATAGAGACGATCATTGCGCGTCGAATGGCACCATCCGTGCAAGGCAGCGATGCTTACTGCGTGTGCTAGCGCTATGGAACTGGCCGTGGCCGCGACGATCGCCGCTCTTCATAAAATGTCGAAAGTCATTATATTTTTCGAAAAGTCATTTTTAATATAAAAATGCTTCCTCAGGCCCTCCTCACAGTTTCCCCCCGCAACACTGTTTCAGCCAAGTATAAAAATAGGCCCACCGTGATACACCCCCTATTATGTACCCCTGGGAAAGGTCTCCTCGGACACTAAAGCACTGTACTTGTTTGTGCGAATTCAAATATAACTGGACCAATGAGCGTCGATGGTTTGGATCTTAGCAGTCCCTAAAGATCCAAAAGCCACGAGCGACATGTCGGGCGCGTCCGTGAAGCCCGTCGTGAAGAACTCGACGATGGACCAGGACCTGTTGGACGAGGTGATTTGGGTTGCGCAGGCCGCGATCGAGTCAGAGGTCAACGAGCAGCACATTGCGGCCAAGATCAAGAAGCACTTTGAGCTCAAGTACCACGGCATGCTCTGGCACTGCTGCGTCGGGCGCAACATGGCGTGTTACGTGACGCACGAACAGTCCAAGTTTCTCTACTTTTACATTGGCCAAATGGCCATCGTGCTCTTCGCGACGGCCTAGTTCTGTCGTCGCAGCATCCACATTCTGTACACACCTGCAATACACAAACTTCCGCCATCTTTTCTCGTGCCCGTCAAAGACAACTGACGCATTTCTGTTGTGGTCTCTTGCTCTTGTAGCCTCAGCTGCCATCGCTCCACAACTAAAGGCTATCACCAAGAGTTAATCGCAGGTTTTTCGTGAAATGAAAGGGCTAAAACTGAAGCGTCGATGCAAAAGGGCCGCTCCCAATCCCTCTACATTGGATGCATGCAGCGGCTGTAGTCTTCGTATGTGGCTTGTCGTATGGCGGGTCCACCACCCGAGCAGCGGTTCAAGCCACTCTTGCAGCATAGTGTCCTTGGATGCCGTGATCTTTGTCCATGAGCGATCACAAAAATGTCCGTACCTGGAGACATGAAGCGCTTCAATGAAGAACTCTATTGGGGTCATGCTTGTGTTGGCTCTAGTCGACTGGTGATGATGATGCTGGCGCCAAAATTGCCAGTCCAAATAAAACCCCAAGTCGAAACGCATTGGGGCTCAGCGACGTATTCTCAACCTCGACGATGGAGGTTCCGTCGTCGCCAAAGCCATCACCACGCTTATCGCTACCGCGGGCCAAGCTCAAGTCGCTCCTCGCGCTCAGCAGCCTCGCGCCGCTGCCGCTGATCCAAGCGCACCACGAGAGCATCAACGACAACGACGCACATGTAGCCAAGGCCGAGTTCAACACGGTGCTACCCCATGTCGTGCACAAGGACATCTTTGCAGCGTCAGCCGAAGGGTCGCCGATCGGGAGCGAAGACGAGTCGCGACAGCTCGCACATCTTCTCGCCGAGTTTGAACGCCGGTTTTGGAAAAAAGCCAACAAGAAGGCGACGTCGTCGCTCGTGTTCCGCCGGCGGTCGCTGGATCCAACACACGTAGCAACGGACGAGGCGCCGGTCGTCGACCCTACCTCGCTGACGTTCGACTCGAACTTTGAGAGCGCCAACCTCGCGAGTGCGTACCGCGTTCACGACCGCAACTACTCGTTCGTATCACAGTGCACCAGCAAGCACGGCGACACGGCCGGTCCGAGTCGGGTCGATCAAGAATACGACCTCTACTGCACCAACGACACCTACACCCTCGGTACATTTTGCATTGCAGCATCGAATGGGAGAGAAACGTCCTTTTGTAGGACACATTCAGTGGTACTACTTCAAGGTCACGCGGCCGCCAGGCAATGGCCGACTCCGCGTGCGCTTCAATCTGCGCAACATGATGAAGCGCGACAGCTTGTACAACTGCGGCATGCTACCGGCCGTCTACTCTGAGGTGCGTTGGCGTTTATCATCGTGCGTAGAATGGACCAGGAGGTAGGCCAAGGTCAATGCTGGGATTGCAGGCTGGACCCACGGTGGCGAAGAAGCCTTCTACTACCAGAACGCCGACGTTTACACGCGCGTACGTCGGGGGCTCCGCCGCAACTTTTCGCATTATACGCTCAGCTTTATCTACACGTTCGAGCCGTCGGAGGACGTTGTGTACTTTGCCCACTGCTTTCCCTACACGTACACGTATTTGCAAACGTACTTGACGTCGCTCGAGAAATGCCCGTTGCGCAGTCGCAACCTCCGTCGACGGACGCTCTGCTCGACGCTCTGCGGCAACGCATGCGATATGCTCACTATCACCGAATTTACGTCCGAGCCCCAAGGTAGCCCACCAGCACGATCGAATGCAATAATCCAACACGGATATTGTAGTGCTGCGGAAGCGCACGGGCGTCGTGCTCACTGCGCGCGTGCACCCGGGCGAAACCAACGGCAGCTTCTTGCTACATGGCATCATGGAGTTCCTCACGGGCTTCTCGGACGAAGCGATCGCGCTCCGGAAATGCTACATTTTCAAAATCATCCCGATGCTCAATCCCGACGGCGTCGTCCACGGCAACTACCGCTGCTCGCTCGCCGGCATCGACCTCAATCGGCGCTGGTCGCAGCCGTCCGAGCTCTACCACCCGACCATCTACGCGGCCAAAAAGATGATTGCACTCATGCGCCAGTCGCGCAAAGTGCTTCTCTTTTGCGACTTTCACGGCCACAGCCGCAAGAAAAACATGTTTACGTACATCGCAATCAAGATGACAATATTGTCTGTAACCGACAGGAATAGGTATGGGTGTAAGCCGTATCTATCATGGTCGCGCCTCGAAGACGCCAAGGTGCGGCTCTTCCCGTACGTGCTGTGCAAAACATCAAGCGCTCAAGCCGGTGCGTCGACGTCAACAAGCAACAATTGCTGATTGGGCTGGCGTAGGGGGCTACTTTAGCTTTACCGATTGTACGTTTAACGTCACTCGCTCCAAGCGCTCGACGGGCCGCGTCGCGGTCTGGAGTGACATTCAGATCCTCAATAGCATTACGCTCGAAGCGTCTTTTTGCGGGTGCCGCGCACATCGCTCCCTTTTGTATAGTCTAATTTGGAAAACGGCGCTGTAGGACCGGCGACAACAAGGCGCGGCGCAGCATCGCGGCGTTTGCCACGACGACGCCCAACCACACGCCGCGACACTTTACGCAGCGCGACTTTACGTGCTCGGGCGAACAATTCTGCCACGCGCTGACAACGTACGGCGCTCTTTTGGGGATCGAACCCATCGATGCGACCACGCTTCTCGGTGCGTCGGCTGCCAAGCACGAAGGCGTTCTCGAGCTCCTCGACCTCGATGAGACGCCGATCGAGCCAAATGTACGCGACCCAACACTGCTCACGAGCACGACGGCCTTTGGCGCCAACGATTTCGCCTACTCGGAGACCGCGCTGAGTCTTCTTGACGAGATTGCATCCTGCGTACCCAGCCCGTCCGACGGTGCGGCCGAGTCGGAAAACTCGAGCGGCTCCGACTCGAACCCGTCCGAAGACAACTACGAGCCCGAGGAACTCGAAAGCAACACCGCGTGGCAAGCCTTTCGGCGCAATGTCGTGCTGCGACGGTCGTCATCGGCACTCAAGAGCGCATCCGCGGGGCCAAACTCGGGCCGCACTGCGTCGCTCACGCTCTCGTCGTCGCTGGCCAAAAAATCGATTAAACTGTACCCTACCCACCGCGCGCATAGAGCGGAATTGAAGTGGCGATGTAGGCGCAAGAAAGTGCGCCGGAGCAGCACGACGGGCACCCCGCGCGTGACAGTGAGCGATGCACCTGCTGTAGTTGCCAAGGCCGATGGCGGCCCCCACCGCAGTCCGCGCGTTGCCCCACTACCGCTGCGTCGCGTCGAGGTGCGTGTGACTCCACGCGTTGTGGTCCAGTCAGCAAGGGAGCAAAAGGCGCCCCCGACCATAATCATTCCGAAACCGGTAGACGATGACAATACTGTCCGCTGACATCATAACGGGTTAGGTCAAGAACGCCGGTGGGTTTGCGCAGTTTCACAAAAACATGATTCAGCGCCGCATCCACCAGTCACAGATCGTCATGCGACCGCCGCCGTGATGCAAAATGCTCGTCCTCCCTGTCGTCGTTGTAAACGGTCTCATCCATGAGATGTGTCAAGCGCTCCTGCACTGTCTTTGTTGTATTGCAGCCAATATTGTCTATGTGTTACTAGCCAAGTAAAGGGCGCGGGGTGGACAACTGCGTTAGCGCGAATCTCGCGCATAAGGACCGGAGGGTAACCGCGACTACGTACATCAGAGTATCATTTATAGTGTTTATAGTCGGCTTGGTCCCCTTTGTCGATCGAGCTTAGGTCTAGACAACGTCGGCTCGTGCGGCGCCGTCGTCGTTGGCGGCATCAAACTCTCTAGCGCGGCGTTTGGTCGCACTGGTCGGGGAGAGCGGCGAGTCGGACGCACTGTGGTCGATCGGAATCGACACGCGGCGAATGTGGTCGTCGCCCACGCTCAAAACCTCGTCGTCGTCGTCGTCCTCGGTCACGTACGAGGCGCCCCGCATGCGCGGCGTGCGTCCGAGCTTGGGCAAGTTGGTCCATGCGCCTTCGTCGATCTTGCGAATGAGCTGGAACTTGTCGACTTGCTTGATCTTGAAGACGCAGACGGCCGAGAGGTAGATGAAGATGATGTTGATCCACAAAAGGAGCCAGCTCCCGACTGCAATCTCAAAAAACACCAGTCGGCTCGCTTCTTGGAAGTCGTTGACGACGAGTGGACCCAAGATCGCGTACGAGAGGCAGATGCCGCAGTTGACCGTCGGTGGCAAGAGCGCGGCGGCGATCGCTGTTCCGACGACCGACGAGACGTTGGCGTTCGACTCGGCGAGCGCAACCCCCGCCCCCGAGAGTGCCGCGACCACCGCGCCAAAGACAAGCGACACAAACTGGCCGCGCGACCGCATCTCGTACGTTGGCCACTTGAGGTCGACGGCGTACGGTGCGAGGAATATGCCAATGAGAACGCCGAGGAGGAGCGTGATCACGAGCGCAAAGAGCTCGTTGAGGAGACCATTCAGAAACATGTTGCGGTCGCGGATCGCAAAACCAAACGAGCACCCGAGAATCGGCCCCTACTCCATTGATATGCGCTACTGTATACAGCAGGATGGTCTGTACCATGAGCGGCGACAGCAGCATCGACGCCACGACGCATGTCTACAAGAGAGGAGGTTCGAACCGACAGCGTCTCCAGCAGCAGCAGCAAGTACCGACGAGTCGCCGGCCAAGCCAATGCCAGCGATCGACCTACATCGTGTCGTCAGCTCGCACCAAGATGCTGGTACGTACGAAGAGATGAAGAGCATGCCAATCGAGTCCCGAGACAACGTCGTGCTGGCTTCGATGTGGGCGTACATTTCGGCGACCGGGATCGCTGTCCCGACGTCCGTTGAGCGTTGGAGCAGCGCGCGGCGCGGACGTGACTTGTGCGTCTTGGGCTTGCGCTTGGAAATGGAAGTGCCTGGCGTCAACGACATGACATCGCAAAAGCCAAACTGGACGCCGACGCCCATCTTCTGGAGCGCCGTCAAGATCGGCTGCATCTCGCCGTCCTCGACGCGGAACGTGACAATCGACGACGACCGCGCCTCGATGCTCGTGACGTTCTCGAGCTTGAGCTCGTCCTGGAGCGCCGAGACGACCTTGTGGTGCTGCTCGTTCGGGATCGTCACCTGGAACAGCTTCATAGTCCGGCCTTTCTTGCTCTGACGCTGAAACAGCCAAAATTGTTTTGGCCAATCCAGCGCGCGTCTGCCAATTGGCGCGATGCCATTGGACGAAATGTATCGATTTCACAACAGACCAAGTGCCACGCAGCCGAGCGCGGCCACGAGCGACGCATCAGGCAGCGTGTGCATCTGCATCGAATCGAGGTAGATGCGTAGCTCGATGGAGAGAGGACAAGCATGCCCGCGGTAGCTCGCGACGTGGCGCGTGCAGGCATGCACAAAGCCACCATGTCCTAATCGAAGGCCGTTCGTCACGATGACATCAAAGCCATGGATGCATACCTCGCTCGACGACGATATCGAGCAACTCGATCGCTCGCCGCACGACGGACTTGGCCGTGTGGTCGCACGCAACGCAGATGAGTAGCGGGATGCAGCGCAAGAGATCGCACGGAACCATCGCCTCGGCCGACATCGCGAGATACGTGACGAGGACACTCGTTGCGGCGTAGACGGCTGTGACCACGGACCGATGGATCGAGAGCGCACTTGAAACACGATAGAAGATCTCAGTCTCGACCGCCGCGTAGTCTTGTCCTGGTGCACGAGGTCAGAGGTGTGCTCTAGGATACAATACATTGTCCAGACGCACCCGAGAGCATCGCTTTGCAAATGGCCAACGACCCCGTCGTTTGCACTTCGGCGCTGTTGTTTTGTCGCATTGCTGTCAGCACCGCGTCCAGTGACGTGTGTCCATCGATGCGCTCGAGCTGTTTGGCGATCGCACGCGGTGTCTCTCGCGCCGCGGTCGGTTGACGGCGACGTTCCGTCGACACTTGCGGACGGCCACCGATGCCACGTCGCTGCGCTGTGGAATTGTTGGCATCTAGTGTTCAAGCATTGAGTAAAGAAAGCGCTGGCAGTCGCGTACGGACTCGGCGCCAGCGCATGCCGTCGCTCCATTCAATCACAAGGCCGGCGGCGTCGACCGTCCCGATCACTTCCGCTTGCCCTAGCACAATACGAAGCCCGGTCCGATCTTTTGGCGACCGCCGAAGCACGGGCACTTGCCACCACTTGCGGGGCGGCACTTCAGAGACCACGAATTGAAATGGATCGCGACCGAGACTGTTGCTTTGGACGCGGTCGATGCGGTACTGCCCGGCACCAAACGCAGAAGTCGCCCCCGCGCGGTCGAGCTCCCATAGCCCAAGCGAGGTCTCTAGATCCCAGACTTGCACTCGAGACCTACATGGTGGGAACGCTACCTTGCACTTCGCGGTGTCCTTCGTTGCAGTGTTCACAGCGATGCAAGAGTCGTACGTTGTGCGCGCCGCAGTGCTCACATGTCCAGTCGCAGACGCGGGACCGGTCGTGCCACGCCTGGAAGTCACGGTAGAGGTACTCGCGCCGGACCTGCACCTGCTGCAAATACGACTCGTTCTGCGCCGTCAAGTAGGCAGCGAGCACGTCCGCAAGCCGCTTGGTTTCAAACACATTGTACGCCGCGCTCTCGGCATCCGCGGCCATCATCATTTGACGCGCGGTGGCCTCTCGCTGCCGCGCGTGCTCCAGCGCCTCTGCCTCGTCGCGCTTCTCGAGCGCATGAAAGTGGTCGCGGAGGACGTCGCTGCCAGCAATTGACGGGTCTTTATACAGGATGGATTTGAGGTACTGAAGTCCGGGGTTCAACGACGGCTGGGACGACGTGTGCGAGCCGAGATTGAGGCGACGATGCTCGGCGATCGACTCGACTTGGAACGGCGAGACGGACGTCTTTGTGTGGCGCAACACGCGGCGTTTTGGCGGCTCGTACGAAACAAGGCGAGGCGGCGGGCGAAGAAGATCGCTGGCTGCCCCCGGCATCGCACGCTGAACGATCTGCTGGGATAAAATTAGTCGCCTTTCTATGGCGTCGACTTCAATACCGACGCCTCGCTCAGCTATTTAAGGGCACGCGGTGCAGTCGGTAGTTTGCTCTTGGAGAAATCCGATCCTAACGCGGTCGATTCTGCAGGCATGGTCCCGATTCCTGCTTGCTTCTTCGGCATGTGGGCATCCTTCGTTCCAACGAAACGACGCGGCATCGACAGCAAACACACCACTATCGCGCATAGTCGGTAGCGCTGTGCATAGTTGGCGAGCTTCGTTGGTGTAGCTTGACAGGGGACACGAAGAACAAATCCCACAGTGCCACAGCCGACTGAAATGTTGACGCGTGAGATGTTGACTTGGTCGCGTCGATGGGTCCGCCCTGAAGATGCAGTTGCCTCGTGGCATCAATGTTGAATCATCCTGCGCCTGGGATAGCGTCTGGGTTGAAAACCTTCTCGGTGTTGATAGTATCGCCTGAGAACACACCTGGGAAGCACGTTGCAGTGCATGACTCGAGCGGCGTCTATCGACTGAGACGCCGTCGACGTACCACGGAGCAGACAACAAGGCTTCCGCCCGGGACGACAGCCAAACAAACAGCCCAACATGGTTTGTAGACGGTGACTACGTAAGCACCCACGTCCAAGAGTCGAGACGAAGCGAGTGGACGTAACCGCAGCAGTGACTCGCACCTGGCTCCCGCGCCTTGTAGATACGCTGTGGCCTCCAGTTTGCGGCAGATGCAACACCACGCATGTCCACTCGAGCTCAACATGAATGGCGTCAAAGGGGTGTTTTAACTTAGTGATAATAGTCTGCGGTAGCGTTAAATAAGGACCCTAGGCGGCTTAGAACAGCATGTCGATGACTTGGGCAATCACGCGGTCGTCGAGGGCAACGCTCATGGCGTCGGCAATGTCCTTGTCCTCAGCGGTCAGAATGGCCGACTCGTACTCGTCGGCGGCTTCCATCGACGGAAGGCTTGGCCGCTCGGGCCGGCGGACTTCGCTGCCGTTATGGCGTGGGGCGTACACGGACGATGACGACGTAGTGGGCTGCATGGTGTGGTTGGCAAATTGAAAACTGAAAAGAGATGTGACCGGCCACCGGTTGTTGTACATTCCATGGGTGGGCGAGACGACACCGTCCCACGACCCGCATGTTGACATGAACCGGCCGCACCGTGGGATACCTTTCTGAGTTTGCTCAAGCAACTGACAAGCGAATCTTTGGCCACGTGAACGCGCGCTCGCTATATGATGGATAAAGCTCACTTGCGACATGCTGTCACCCCTTTCTCACAATGATCTTCATCTTCGTCGGTGCCATCAGCTTTCGCGATCCCACGGCCTTCCTTCTACATGTAGTTTATCGCAAGTACACATCATCCCATGGTTGGACCATGGTGTCGGACATTCTTGCCCCAGCGCGTCCTCGCTACATCCTTGCCGTTCTTTTGTCACCGATACTATACGTCAATTCTCTGTCGTCGAGTGTCAAGTAGGTACTGCATGAATACGATTCGGAGAGTTGTGTGTAGTCGGAGTGTAAGGACCGGGATGAGCTGCACGGTGGCTCGCAGGCCCTATACGCAACGGAGACTTCACCCACACGGCATTGCAGTGTCGTGGTAGGTGTCACCTCGACGATGCTACGAAGTGAGTGCACCGGTCGCAAAGCGACCTCGCTCAGGAAATATGCATGTGCTTGTCAGCACCGTGTCTCCGGTGCCGCCACGTCAAGTCAATCTGGAAGAAGGGGTTGCTTCAGAATGGAAAGACTGATAGAGTTGGACCTGCCGCAACATCTGCCGGGCGGCGTGCGGCGGGTGGGGCTTCTGTCACAGACACCTGGTCGGCGCGCACGTTTATGGCCTACAAACTCAGACACACGCTCGGTAGGGTGCAGCAGATTCGGCGCTTACGGCCCACCCGTCAACTGCGCCTCCAATAGACAATCCAGGTCCAACAGTGCTTGGAGCGCTGTGGTACTTCATGAAGAAACGTTCGTCGTGGTGATGGTGGCGTGGCCGCGACGTGAGTTGCAAGACGGCCTTTCTATTGCCAACGGAAGTTGGCTGCTTCACACGGTGCACCTTCCGCATCTCGGACGACGATCGGGTCACGATGTAATAGACCATGTGTGTGTGTACCTTCGAAAGCGGACGTTGAGCGGCTTGCGATCATCCCATCATATCGTACCCTACTGCCCTACACCCAGGCCTACACCCTCCCGAGGTCCGCGCGACATGACACTTCTTGCTGCTGTGCGTACACTTGATGGATGGATATAAGCGGTTGTACCTCATGCTGGAACAGGCGCAAAGTGGTAGGAGCCCGTGTCCATGCGTCGGCCAGTGCTTCGTTGTCATTCCAAAAGCAGGTCGAGAGGCTACATTTTTCAGGTGCAAATCTGCTGCTCCTGCTGCTATTACTGTCGCTCGTCGTGCAATTGATGTGTAGCAGGTGGACGACTGCCCGCGCTTGAAGTTTGCAATCAACACGCTCTGAGAAAGCGACCGATGCATGCGCCCGTGCAGCCTCTGCATCTGGTCGGCAAGCATCTATGCCATTCCGTGCAGCATGCACCTGGATGCGGCCTCTGCTAAATGCACTTGATCTGTGCACGACGACATATATGTAATTGGACACGGACGGACGCCACGATACATGTTTCAAATCTAGCGCGATGATGCAAACCAGACTGGAATGGCCTGCTAGCCGAGAATAGGAGCGCCATCCATCTTGCGATCTTGCGCACGCTGGGTTTGACGGTGGAGTATGCTGGGACACTGGCGCTTGCCGACAACAACTGCAGCATGCTGCCCGGTCTCGCCCTGTCCCTCATCATGATGCTACGAGACTGTCGTTCGTTGTCGTTCGATGTGCACGGCAGTCAGTTGGGCATTGTATTAAGATGCAGTACGATACATGCAGAGGTTCATTCGCAAAGGATGGCCTCGTAGAGACACGGAGTCGGAAGCGCCCGCTCAATGACACGGCTTTGATAAGATCGCGGTGTTCGAAAAAAGGCGCGTCGACATTTTGTCCAATCGCGTTGCCTACAGAGCCATGTGTGCGTGCGATTGGCTAAAATGACAACAGTGCAAGAGTGGCAAGCAGCAACATGGGCACGAGCGACGCCAAGCTCGACCAATGTCTCGCGGTTCTCGCGGGCCCCACGGACGAGCACAAGTTTGCGGGCCTCTTGATGGTCACCAAGCACTTGGCTGACGCCGATGCGACGACGCTGCAGGCGGTGCGGGCGCGCGTGCTGGCGACCACGGGTGTCGTCTTCTTCCTCCGACTCCTCCACACCAAAGGTGCATGGCCTTCGCCGTCGTCGACAATGGCTCACGACAGAGTGTGAATAGGCAGCGATGACGAAGCGCTTTCGCCGTACCGCGCTCTGGCTTTGAACCTGATCTCGAGGTAGTACCATCCTCGTCGTGGCTCGGCATACATGTATTGAGCTGGCCTTGCACCATAGCTTTTGCGGGGATGCAACGCTCGCAAACGAGTTTGCCAAGGCCTCTGTCGTCGCCGATACGCTCGAGGCATTGCAGCTCGGCGTTGCTGCGGCCAACGTGACTGTGGTCACCGACTGCCATCACGTCCTGCAAGGGCTCTACCTCCACACGTCGTCCGGACGCGAGGTGCAACACATCTCCGTCCCGAGGTCTTCTGACCGCCTATCATTCTCGTAGCTTTTGATCGAGAACGGACTCGTACCTGCGGTGGTGCAAGCCATGGCGCAGTGCTGTGCGGTGCAGCCGCTCTCGGACGCGCACGAAGTCATTCTCCAGCACCTCGTGGACCTCGTCCGCAGCATCCACGATCTCTGGAAGGCGCTGTCGTCCCCCGACTTTAACGCGTTGCTGCATTGTTTTGGTGCGATCGAGTCGCGGTCGCTTGCCAAGTGCCATTTACAAGAGCTGCTGCTGCGCGCGCCGGACGAGCGCTGGCTCGACGCTCCGCTCGCCGACGTCGTGTCCGGTCTCTTTGGCGCGTGGCCAGAGCACGGACACGCCTCGACGCAGCGTCGAGACACGTCGCTCGCGCTCATTGAGCGCCTCTTCTCGACCGTCGGTGGCGCGTGGCTTGTCCCGACGCCCGACGCCGCCGGTGACCTCGTCGTTCTCGTTGTCCAGTTGGCCGCCATCGAAGCCAAACTGCTCTTGGATGACGCCGAGCGGGCGTGGATCGACGTCCGCGTCAACGACAGCGCCGTCGAAGTCATCGATGCCGCCGACGACCGGCTCACGCGCATGGTTCCGATCTGCTATGGCATTCTGGAGGCCATTGTGTCGATGCTGGCCGGATCGCGCCCTGATATTGTCGACGCGTCGCTGCTCTCGGGACCGGTACTCGCACAGCTCCAGGATGCGCTCGGCGAGGTCTTTACGGTCGTGCTTCAGTTTCTAACGACGGCGCGGGACTTTGTCGCGACGTTCCCGACCTCGCTCGCCCTCGATATGGTGGTCTACGCCAGCGTCCGCGTCTTTGGCGCGTGGCTGGCCGAAGAGTCGGACTTTTGCCAAGCGGACGTGCTCCAGCTGCTGCCCTTCCTATTGCAGTACCAGCCGTCGCTCGTCACCGACGCATCGCCGTTGCAGAACGACGACGACGACGACGAGCTCGACTCGGACGACGAGGCGCCGCCGACACCGCTGCTCACCGACCCGCTGCACTTTTTACTCCCGGGTCTCCTCTCACTGTCAGCCGACGAGACCGTGGCCAATGTCATCTTGGACGATGACGCTGTCTTGCAGCGCGTGCTGCAGTTTGGCGTCAGCGTCTGCGCCAACGCCGAGAGCCCTGGTGTCGTCACGCTGTGTCTTGGTGTCTCTATGAATTTGTTGCTCCTTGGGTCGCCGTCGTTCACGGCCAAAGCCCGCTTCCAGAAGACACTGCCGGTGTACATGAAGCTCGCACAACTGACAGGCCAGCGTTGCATGACGAGCCGCGTGTACGACGACGACGCGACGTCACTGCTCTTGCATCTGCTCAACTACTGCCTCTTGGTCCTTCTGGGCGCGTCGACTACGAGCTCCGACAAGGCCTTTCGCGCCACGCTCGAGTGGGCGCAAGCGCATGCGCCGCCGATCGAGTGCGACGCCAGCTACGACCTCCACGCACTCTTGCTGCACTTGGCCGCCCGCTACACGTAAAAGACGACCTGTAGAATCGGGTTAAATTAAGGTTAACAAGATGTTTCGCAGAGAGGGGTGGATCTAGTCTGCCACAAGGGCTTCCACCGCGCAGCACGCTTCAAAAATCAGACCGTCGACGCAATCTCGTGCGCCGCCGACTCGAGGCGCGCACGTTTCGCACTCGGGCCGTTGGTAGGCTCTAACGACCGGCAACGCCGGCGCGAGGCAGGCGGCGCGCGCGCCGGGGGCGACGTGATCGTGCACTCTTCGCCGACCGCATCAAGCTCGTGGACGCTGGCCTGCTGCATGATGCGTGCGTTCATGACGGGCGGCATGGATGCAATGTCGCTGCAGCAGGCGCCATTTGCAGTGAGACTCGGCGGGTTGCGGCGTACGCGGGCATTCACGACCGCTCGAATGACCTGATTGCTCGCCGGCAGCTCCAGGAGCTGCGCCGTGGGCATGTTGGCCTGTGACTGCTGCAAAATGATCGTCGTGTTGATCGCGTACACCGAGTAGTTGCTGTACGCGTCGGTCGGCAGCTGGTGGCGACAGGTCGGGCACGTCGAGTGGAGCTTCAGCCACGGGTCAATGCAATGGGCGTGGAATGAGTGGCGGCACGGTAGCTCGACGCTGAGCTCGTCGCCAAACGCCTCCATGCACACAACGCAGGCCGACTCGTCTGATGTCGCGACCAGGTTCTCCTTGAGGCCATCGACGTACGAGGCGGACGCAGGCGAGACCGAATTGAGCTGCGGCATGATGTAGCGGATGATGCTCTGCACCCAGCGCGGGCTCTTGAAGAGGCGCAGCGCGTCCTTGATGTGCGAGTTGGGCGGCGCCGCGTACCGGACGTTCACGCGGATGGCGAGGTCCATTTCGCAGGTGGCAGCAGAATCGGAAGTGAGCAGTTCATGGCGGCGAGGTCGCATATATGGCACGCCCGCCTAATGCGAATTCTATTTCGGTTGCGGCAAAGCACGAGATCCGAACGGGAATTTCGCCCGTCGTTCGTTTCAGCTTTATTTAAGTATCTAAATTTTTGTATCCAAATAATAAAAATGTACGCCAACGGGTGTTTCGCACGGATCCGAGGTGGCGGCTCACAAACGACGCGCGTCTTTTTATTGTATTTTTACGCTCAAAACGCCTGGTTTCAGGCTCCGGTAGGACTTTTGCCCCGTCGCTTTCTGGGACGCCGGGCCGTTGGCCCTTATTCGAGGGCTTCCGGTAGGACCCGAAGCGACGGGGCGGTTGCCCACGTTTAGTTAGTCGCTCCCAATGTATTTTGAACCATCATGATGGCGTTGCGCTAATTATACGACAGCGCCGCCATCAAAGCTCGTCCGAAACGAAGCCAGTATAACAACCCAAGTGCAAGGTGAGGAGTCTTCAATTTACGCCTGTCGGTAGTATGGTCGCGCGGCCAACGTTCACGCGCAACTCTACAGTGCATGCTTCTTGAGCGCACTGGATACGAGAGAAGACGACACAAAGATGGCTCGTCGTCGCTGGCGTACCATGAAGAAGGGCGTGGAGAGCCAGAAGCTGCTGCGCCCACGCGCGCTGGTCTGATGCGCCCTGCGTCGTCACGTCGGCGACATTGCGCTGCAATTGCAGCACCTGCAAGAAAAGGCCTTGCGCGATATTACTTGATGGCCAATGTAGCGTCTACCTGTGTGCCAATGTGGACTTGGAACGCATGCAAGGACGCAGCGACTTGACCGATGCGTGTCTCGACCGCCGAGAGATGTGCCCGCACTTCAACAATCGGCGTCTCGTCGGGCGCCTGTGGCGTCGGCTCAGATATCACACGCCTGATCTTGGTCGCGTACGGTCCCTTCCCACGTTGGCGGCGGCGACGGGGCGCACGTTTTCTGGGCTTTGAGCACGGCAATCTCACTGGCCCACGCCTGTTGCGCAACATCGAAGCGCTGCGAAAGGTCCATGGGTAACTTTGTCGCCATCTACGAGACCTTGTCTTTGAGACGTCGTGCTACGTTGTTGTAGCTCATTACGTGGTGGAGCTTTTGCGTCAGCTCCTCGAGTTCCAACACCACGTGCTCGTGCTTGGCCGCCGCGCCGCGCGCGAGCTCCCGCAGGCGATTCGTGAGCGCATCAAACTGCAACCGGTCCGCGCTCCGGTAGGCACTCATGTCGGCCTTTCTAATTTTGAAAATGTGATGACGTGGCACGACGAGACACGTGAAAACGAACATCGCTTCCACGTCCATGTGCAGCTCGTCACATCGGTGCTTTTCCGTCGTTGCATGCAGCATGGTTCTAGCATGGGATTTAATCTATCGAACGATAGAAGAAGCCAAGTACTCGCGGCCGGACGGGCGCGCTAAATGGAGCTGCAGTTGCGCCTTCTCGAGCCCAAAGAGCTTTTCATCCAACGCCGTCAACTTGGCTTCAAACGTGTGAAACGACTAGTCAATCGTCGTGCTAGTAACCTAGTTTAGGACGTTGTCGTACTGTCAATGTTGCGTCCGACTCCTTCTGCGCTTGCTCGCGCATCTTCTCGAGAAGCCCGTGGGTTTGGCCCAGTCGGCCATTGGCAGCGCTCCAGAACGAGTCCATCTAATGCCATCACGTCCAAGTTGCTGCATCTCGCGCGCCAATGGTCATACTTCGCCCCGCATGACGGCCATGTGCTCCTTCATCGCTGCGACTTCGGTCTTGACCTCTTGCAAATGCCGCCGGTATTTCTACAGCCACCATCGCCACCGTTCTATTCACCACGTGTTTACCTGCTGCTCTTGAGCCACGCTGTAGTGCAGACGATCCATCTTCTTGTCAATTTGGTCGTGCAGCGCGACGTGGGCAGCGTGCTGGTGGGTGCGCAGGGCTTCCAACTGCCACATGTGCATTCCACCACTCTATCGTTGGAGACGTTCAAGTACCTGCTGCTGCAAAGATAAAAACGTCTCTTGGGACGCTGCTTCGAGCTCCAACTGCTCTTGGCTGTCGCGCTCGAGGGCCTACGCGCATGACATACCGTAGAGCCCGCTGTCGCACCCAACCTGCACAGCCGCGCGCAGCGCATCGACTTGCGGCACAATCGACGCCGTGAGCGTCACGAGGTCGGTTTTCGCCTTCTTCGCGTGCTCTTCGGCCTTCTCGCGGCGCCGGCGCTCGACCACGAGGTTGGGGCTCCCGCCGAGGACGTGCGCCTTCATTCGAAGATTTGCACATCGTGAAACGACGCGTCGTGGGAAAAGACTCGTCGTCGTTACACCGTCCCGGCTCGCCGACCATGGACATCTACCGGCTCGGGAAGCTCAAGCTCTTTCGGAAGAAGAAGGGACAGGACCTCCGTGCGCAGAGCGTGTACGACCTCCAGCGGTACGTTTTGACGTAGCGACCATCGTGCCACGACGGTGCGCAGGTTTCGGGCGTTGTACCTTGGCGCGACGCAGAGTCGGGGCCTCGCACCGCCGCCCGCCTTTGACAAGGTACAGCTTTGCTGTGGAAATGGCTACATGTCGTGTCGAGTAGTGCGTCTACAAGGCGATTTCAACGCAATCGAACCTCGTGCTCGTGGACTTTCGTGGCCAAGACGTGAGCGACAATCAGCTGCTCGCACTAGTCGAGACGCTCCTTGAGATTCCGATCCTTTCGAGCCTCGACTTGCGCGACAACCTCATTACAGAAGAGGTGCGCGTTGCCATACCTGGGCCGCGATTTAGAACGCTCGTAGGGCGGTCTCTCCATCTTGGAGCTGCTCCGCCACCAGCTCATTAGCGCCAAAGCCAAGAGCGCGGGACCGGTAGACACGAGTAGCGTCTTGTCCAGCGTGAACCGTGAATGTCTAGTCGTTGGAGTACACGCGCTTGATCACAAAGGTCGATCTGCGCGGCAACAACGTGTCCGAGCCGACGCTGCAGACGATTCGGCAGGTATGATTTGTCTGGCGTCTCGGGTTGTGACGGACGCTAGTACACGGCGATGCTGGCGCGGGAAGACAAGCGGCTCCAGATCAAGTCGATCTTGAACCAACTCGACTACAACGCGTCCGGGTCGCTCGATGAGAACGAAGTGCGCATTGCACTCAAGCTCGCGAGCGGCGTCGAGCCGACAAAGAAGGAAGTCGGGAACATCATGGAGCAGCTCGGGCTGCTGAGCTGGCAGCTCTCGAACGGCCCGTCCCCGTCCCAGAAGCAAACGTCCGAAGCGAGCTTGCGCGCGGCGCTGGAGAACATTCTTCTCGCACGCTTCGCGCGGTCGCCCGCCAAGAAGGACATGGAAGGGATGCCGCCACTCGAGTCCCTTGCGCACATTCGCCATGCTGAGCTCACGATGCCGTCCAACTACAATGCTGAAGACCCGAGTGATGACGACGACCAAGTGCCGCCAATGGTCGCCGCCGCACGACGCAGCTCTGTGCGCCTTGGAAGCAGCCTCTCCTCGCTGAGTAGTCACGTTTCGTCCGAGGGTACCATCTCACCAGACGACGTCGAGATGCCGCCGCTGGATCTCGAGTCGCCTCCGACGAGCCGCCCACCGTCGCCCACGGCAGCTGCGCGTCCCCCGCCGATCGTGATCCCGGTGCAGCAATCGTTGTCACCGATGCCATCGCCGGTTGTGTCGCCGGTTGCATCCCCAGTGGCCGCGGAACACTACGTGCACCGCAGCAGTGACGCATCTGTAGTCATGCACATGATCTCGCCTCTGCTTTCGCCCGTCCAGACGCCGCCCACGTCCCCGACAATGACTCTCATGACGCCACATCGTGAGGCGCAGCCGATAGCAGACGCGATGCCGTCAACTAACACGTCGATTCTACCGCCGCCACTGCTTCCAGTAACCCCCGAGGCGCCTCACCCCCCGGTCGTAGCAACGTCGTTTGCACCCACTGCCATCGATCCACCAGTGCCTGCTCCCGAGGATGCCGCGAATGTGCAACCACCAACGAGCGAGTCGGAAGCGAATCTTGGCGAAGACCCAAGGCCCAATGCTGCATTCATAAACTCACCCACGTCGTCGCTATCAGCCGGCGACTGCATGTCCCCACCTGATGCGTCACCTTGCACGTCACCGGTCGCGGCGCTCGTCGCTCCTTTGCCAGCGCCGCTTTTGCCCCCGAGCTCACCGCCCTTTGCAGCTTTAGCGTCGGCGATGGCGCCCTCCAGTCCCAGTCGATTGCAGTCCGTCAGCGAACGGCGCGTCTCGTTGGAGAGCCTCGCCAACGGCGACGACAGCGACGACGACGATCCATTTGAGCTGGCATCGCCGGAAGAATCCCGGAGTCTTGAAACCGCAACGGCGTCGATCTTGGAGATGACGGTGGTCGACGACGCCCGCTGCGAAGACGAGGCAACCTCCGAGCCTGGTACACCGTACACATGCGAGCAGCAGCCGGCCATGTACCAAGGCTACGAGCGGTGACCCTAATTCGGTACAAGTTCGGTATTTGATACGAAATTAGGGTCGCGGCCAAGCTTCAACACCCGCAAATGGCGTCGACGTTCCAGTGGGCTTTGCTGTTTCCAGACGTCCCGCTCTCCAACGTGGTGGCGCTCATTCTGTGCCACAATGCCCTCGAGTCCATTTCCTTTCAAGACGTACCGTCTCTAATTGTCATGCAAGCGATTGAGAAAGGGTGTGTAGATGCAGCTGCGGCATTTGCGCGTCCTCGACCTGTCCGCCAACAAGCTGCACAAGCTCACACCCATGGATGTCCAGCCACTGCGCCAGCTCGAGGTGCGCCACAGGCGTTCGTTGCGTGTTTTTAGCTTCAACCATAGGTCCTGGACCTGAGCTTCAATGCCTTTCGTACGATTCACGGCATTGAGCACCTTACGCATCTCAAAGCACTCAACTTTGCCGGGAACCACATCAAGGCGGTCAAGAACCTCGAGTTCCTCGAGCATCTTGAGGTCATCTCGTTCATCTACACTGTACAAAACCGTAGTGTTGTTCTGAGTAGATCCTGAACTTGGCGCAAAACGAAATTCTAACGCCGCAAGCCCTCCGGCTCCTCTCTCTCAACAAGGTAGGTTCATGCATCGGCTCGTGCATGACCGCACGACGTTAGCACCTCACGCACTTGAACATTGACGACAACCCGGTTGTGAGCCAGGGCAACCACCGCCACCACAGCGCCCATATACTCAACATCATTCCGACGCTGCGGTCGCTCGGCTGCATCCACCTCGCGGCGCTCATTTTGCGGGAGAAGCGCAAGGACAAGAGCGCCAAACCCAAAGACGACACGCCGTCCGTGGTCACCGCCGTCGACGAGACGGACAGTCCGTACTGGATTGCACAAGCGTGCAAAAACGTCGGCTTGGTCTGCGATGCGCCCGAGGTGCGACGACTCCGAGTCGCTTGATTCACCCAATCACGGAATGCATATTAGGAGGCACCGCGCACACCGTCGCCAAAAAAGGTATCGCGGCACGAGCAACGGTCGCGCGACGAGCTGCGCGCCAAGTCGTTTGCCCACCACATAAAGAAAGAGTCGCCGCCGCCACCACCGATGCCGCTCAAGACGAAGCCCAAGTGCTCGTTCGCCGCACAGCAGAAGCGAGCGATCATGCTGAGTACGCCCAAGCCGTCGGCGGTCAAGCCGCCGCCGCCACCAAAAGTCGCACCACCGCCGCCCAGGAGCGTACCGGTGGTTTCGACCTTGAGAGGGTTTCTCCAGCCGACGCAGGCGTCGATCCACAGTACGCTGGCCGCCGAGCGCGAGAAATCCGCCAAAATCAAAAAGCCCAAGTCGGCCATGCACAAGCGACTACTGCGACGTGGTACGTTGCTCTCGGGCTGTATCTTCTTTGACACGCAGCGCTTGCAGAGGAAAAGCTACGACAATACTTGGTGGCGACGTCGCCGCCCAAGCTCGCACCGCCGTCGCCTCCAGCACCTCGGGCAACGACGGTGCCTCTCGTCTTGTCGCCATCACCAGCGCGCAACCAGACGAGCACGAGTAGTACGCCGGGTCTGCACTCCGACTCGTCGACCGAAGCCTTTTTGCAAACCATTCGGTTGCGCGAATTTGTGACGCATGTGGCTGAAGACCATGCGACGGCCTTGTCCGCGCTCGATATTCTCGTGACGCTCTGCGAGCGCAGCAGCCTCGAGATGGCCAAGCTCATCGACTTCAAGACCAATTTGGTTGGCGACTTCACATTTTTCATGTATATTTGACGGGGGTTGTAGGATTCGATGCATATCCTCGGGTACTTCTACGTCGAACCATCAATGCAGCAGGTGCTTGATGCAAGCCCGATGGAGCACGACAGCGTTCGACAGCAGCTGACCGAGCTCCACGACCTCAAGCGCGCAATGGCGTCGATCTTGAGCAACGTCGACTGGCCTGCTACGACAGCAACGGGGAGCGTCTCGTCCAGCACCACATCGCTTCTCCGCGCCGCTTGCGAGGCTCTGCGGACGTCTGCAATCGGTAACCTTCTCTCGTCGCCGGCGCCAACGTCGCTCGACCTACTCTCGCCCACGAGCTCTGTCGCCGGAAACACTGCTACGTTTTCGTTTGCCGTGGATGGCCGCGCTGAGCCGCACCGAGAGCTGGCGGTGGCCACCGACGACGACGACGTGTTCTTCCGAGACGAGCCGAGTACGCTAGTCGTGGAAGAAGCTACCCCGAACGACGCAGTGTTTTTGGACACGACTTCGGTCAACGACCCGCTAGACGCCACGTTTGATATCGACGCCGCGAAGGACGAGCTACTCGCCGACGCTGCTGGTGATGCTGATGACACGAAGGTTCCCGAGACTGACGATGCTCTCGATGGCGAGCTCGATGAAGTGGCCATAGTCCACGACGTGGTCTCTACCGAGGAGTATGAGGAGGAGGAAGTAGCCGAAGCTGAGGCAGTGGAAGACGAAGAAGAAGCTGAAGAGGCAGAAGAAGCTGAAGAAGCTGAAGAAGACGAAGATGCGGAAGAAGATGAAGATGCGGAAGAAGACGAAGAAAACGAAGACGCTGCTGTGGATGAAGCAGCTGTAGAGGACGATGAAGAGGCTGCAGAGTACGACGAAGAGACTGCAGAAGACGACGCAGACGGCGCCGCAGAAGCTGCAGACGACGACGAGGAGGAAGGAGAAGCCGATGACGATGCGCTGACGCACGGCGATTGGGAGCAAGGGTTTGACGAATCGTCTCAGCATCATTACTGGTTCAACTCGGCGACGGAAGAAAGTTCGTGGACGCCGCCACCGGGCTGGCCGTACGATCTCCAGGGCAACCTCCTCGCATCGCAAACTGCCGCCAACGACGACGAAGAAGAAGACGAGGACGGTGAAGAGAACGAGGCGGAAGAAGACGCGTCCGAAGAGTTGAGCCTCGAGGCGCGGATTGCGATGGCGCTTCAGGGCGGCAGCGCTCCCGCCGACGATGAAGTTGACTTTAGCGACAACGACTCGCTTCCTGACCTGTAGACGAGTCCTAAGACTATGCAATTGTGCACGTAAACTTTCTCATTATTCGCGCACCACAGGCTGCCACGTATAGGTGCCATAGCTCGCATCGCAGTACCACGTTTGCTCCAGTGCCGTGTGTTCGGCGGCCTCGCAGCCAATACCGTCTCTCTTGGGCTCGTTGCAGCACACCCAGTGCCCTGGAAGAAGCGTGCCCCCCATATAGTAGGCCGCATGCGCGCGGCACGAGCGCGTTGCCACTGCCGGGTTGAAGGGTGCGTCGCAGCGGCGGCACCGCTCCAAACTGCTTGTTTCGTGGGCCACAAGTGCCTCGCGGAACCATGTCGTGGCGTGGGCTAAGCCCAGTGTACCATCGCGGCATACACGGGGCGGGGCCGCCGCATGCGCCGCCGCAAGCGACCGAAGAAGGCTAAAGAGGATGCCTTGGGCGCCAACTTCGCCGTATCGTATCGCAAACACGTGGCTGCGGCTCGGGTCATTCGCAGGGTACAACGGCAGTGACCCGCCGGTGACGGCCGTGATCCAATCGGGCAACGCGTCCAGATCCACGTCGTCAAAGATCAGAAAGAGCATTGGGGTCCGGCAGTGCGCGGCATACAGGAACTCGAGTTTGCAGTTGATCGAGGCGATGTAGGCGGCCGATAAGCAAACGAGGACGGCGCCGACATTCGAGACGGCGGTCGCCATCGCAGCGTATATATTGCCCTTCATGTAGCCCATGACATCCATCCATACACGGAGATGGGCGATCGAGCCTTGCTGATACAGCTGCAGCACGGCCGACTGCTGCTTCCATGCGTACGAGAACATGGCATCGATCTGCACCGCCGCCCGGGGGAGGCCGTGGGCATCAACCATCGCCGGTGGCGGCGCTAGTGACAGGCGTGTTACCGTGTACTGCACCGTGTCGGTAATCACAGTTGAAGGCACGAGCGACGTGATGTTTGGCTGCGGCAGTTGTGCATCTGCTGGCAACTGCCAGCCGTGTAGCATCAATGGCACCGCCGCAGCACGACCCAAGGCAGTAGCCTGCGCTTGACGGTCTTGAAGCACAGCGGCTTCGTACGCCGTTAACCGAGCCTCTTCTGTCACGTAGAGATGACACTCGTCGACCAAGGCGCTGTGGACGTACGCGAGGAGGTCCGAGGCCGTGCACGAGTCGGACACGCAGCACGGGCTTCCGTCAATCTCGGCATACTTGGTAAAGATGCCGTCCAGACGGGATGGGCGCAGCGGATACCAAAGCCGCCCTGCAAACGCGAGGCCCAGCCACTCGGGGAGGCCGCCGCGCTCGCAGCAGTTGATGGGAAGCAGACTCTTTTTGGTCACAAGCGCCACCTCGAGGGCGCGTTGGTATGCTGGCGACGTGGGCGACGACTCGGTGATGACGCACAGCACGAGCTTGGCACATACAATGGCTTCGAGCGCAGTTGCATCGCTCGCATTGACAACTTGGCAGCGCTCAGGCATCGCCAGCCCTTGCGACGTCAGCGTAGCCAGGAAAGCAGCGACGGTTTGGCCAGCGTCGCCTTCAAAGAGTATGCACACATCGTGCTGATAGGTGTCCGGCACTATCGGAGGCAGCGCCGGCTCGGGCATTTCTGGCAGTGGCAGCCAGGCGCCGGCAGCCACGAGCTGCTGCAGCGCGTGCACCTTGTCGTTGAGCGATGGGACCCACGTGCCGTAGCCAAAGCAAATGGCCCCGATGGCACCCGACGGCTCAAAGTAGCTCTCCAAGGACGCACATCGGATCGTCTTGCGACTGTCCTTTAAGAACGAAAGCGACGTGAGGAGGACGTCGGAGAATGCAAAGTAGACGTCCATGGCCACGATCGCGAGCTCGCACTGCTGCAATAAAGCGTAGCGCGATGTGATGTTGATGGGAAAGAGCTCAGTGATGATAGGCACGGTGGCGTCAACGCACAGGAGGCGGCGTACAGCGTCCACCTGCGACGAGTGCGAGAGCACGACCATTTTGGCCGACGACGAGACGCCCGACCCCATGGCTATTTCGTGTCGTTTCAAGATACAAACGTGGGATTTGTTTGAGTATCAAGTAGGCAACGATCGAGTGGGCGATGCATTCGAGCTCGCGGGCGAATTCGTGACCGAGGTACCTCCCCGCACGCTGCGCCGCGAGATGCCGAGGCACTTGTCCAAGTGCGGTGCAAACCGCGTCGCCAGTACCTCGTGTCGCCACAGCATCATTAGCTCCAGTGCTTAAACGCAAACAGTACATTTCCGTTGCAGCGTGGGCAGGTTACGTGGGCTGCGCTGACTTTGGCTAAAGGCGGGGAGGGCTGCATGCTGGATCGCGTTGGCATGTCGTACAACCCCAAGATGTCCATGGCCTCGGTCTTGACAAGACGATGCATCTACCGTGTATACGCTCATCGACTATACTCGATGCCAATGTATAGTACCTCGAGGCAGACATCCCATGCGACTTCATCGACCAAGGCCGCGAGCACGCTTGCCTCCCACGCCTGTGCCATCTCGCTGCAAGCAACCGAATCTTCCGGATATTATTATCCGGAATATAATATTATAGTGTGCTTTTGACATGTAATAGTGTATATAGACCGGATACCGTCGTCGCAATCCGGATGCGCAACTCGAAGCGGCGCCAAGTGGAATGGCACGACGGGTGCGGCCCCGCCCCGCGGCCGTGCCAACCAAATCGTTGCTGGGAAAACCAGTGCATGCCAAGACCACTGCATTAAGCAACCAGTGTAATATCGAGCCGCTGGTTGCGCAGAGCCTGGCGTCTGGCACACTCGACCTTGCGGCTGCGGCCGACACGATCGACGACGTGGCTCTCGTAGCAATTGCGGGCCGCCTCGCGCCGCATGCAGCGTCCATGCACAACCTTGTGCTCTCTGGCTCGGAGCGCATCTCAGCGGTAGCATCTACCATACCATACCGCGTCCATCAACGGATGTCTAGATTGGCATGCGCTCGGTAGCCCACGCATTGGGGAGCGAGCTTCGGCGACTGGTGTACGCACACGTGCCCGTGCAGCACGACGTCCTCAAAGTGCTCACCACGCGCATTGAGGTGCTCGAAGACGTCGACTTTTCATGTTCGCCCAACTTGTCTGGTGAAGCGATCCGCGAGTTCATTCCATGCTGCAACCGATCGCTGCGAATATGCAACCTCTCGTATTGCCCCATGGTCACTGACGATGGTACGCCTCGCTGACGTTATGGCCACGTACCAGCTACGAGTAGCACTGTGCTGGCTGGCGGGAACGATCGGCGCTCAAGGTGGGCTCACGCAGTGCCGAAAGCTTCGGTCCCTGAATTTGGCCCAAACCCTCGCCATCACAGACCGAGGCCTATGTGCACTTGCCGTCGGGTGCCGCGCACTGCAGTTTCTCAACCTCGAAGGACTCTTGCATGTGACAGACATTGGCTTGACGCAGCTTGCACGCGGCTGCAAGCAACTGCGGGTCGTCCATCTCAAGCGCTGCGTTCAGGTTCGCGCGTTCCGCATGCAGTCCGTGTTGAAGGACCGCTTTAGGTTTCGGACATTGGTGTCACCGCTCTTGGCAAGCACTGTCCCAAGCTCCAGAGTATGAACCTTTGTGGCGTGGTGCTCTTGACAACGTCGGGGCTGACACAATTGGTATCCCATGCGCGCGCGCTTCAGGTCCTGGATGTCCAAGGTTGCAGCTTGCTAACAGAAGAAGCGCTATGCATTCTCGCCACGGCGCTGCCAGCTCTGCAGCACCTCAACGTGACGGGGTGTCAGCAAATTACTGAAAACGGACTTCGAACTCTTGCGACGCACCTTCCGTTCGTGCAACTGGCGACGACCTTTCGAGGCCTCGAGCCGAAAACCAACGCCACGGAGCTCAAGTTTGCGCACCACAAGTCGACGATTGCGCACTCGGCGGCCCTCCGCCTTCAGGCGTGGTACCGTGGGCACCTCGGGCGGCGCATTGCAACCTCGTGGCGCCACGTCATGGTTGAAACGCCCGCCGCTAACGTCATTCGGCGCGCCTACTATCGACATCGGCTTCGGACCGAACTTGCGCGGCGCGTCGCTCACACCGAATACATTGCTCGCCTCGTGGCACGCATCCAAGCACTTGTGCGAGGCGTCCTCGTGCGCACACGCATCCAGCGCGAGCTCGATGAAGCGTATGCCCACACGGTCGCTACACGCGCGGCCAAGCGCATTCAAACTCGCTTTCGTGGCTTTCGCATTCGGCGACAAGTCAACCCTGTTAATGTGGCCCTCGCGCGCATGTACATGCGCTTTGCCGAGGAGCGTCGAGCGCGATGTGCCGTGCGCGTCCAGCGTTGCTACCGCCGTCGACTGAACCGGTGTCGACTCTCGGAGGTTGTGGGGCTGGCCCAGCGCTGGCGGCAGCAGTGCCACGACGCCGCGACGAAGCTCCAGCGGCTTTTCCGCGCCCGGGCAGCGCGCGCACTCACGCGGAGTCTTCAGCGCGAGCTCGAGGCGCGCCGAGCGTGGAAGGCGCATTGCGTCAACATGGCGATCAAACTCCAGTCCCATTGGCGGCGGCATGCATCCTGGCGTCACTTGCAGCGCGCGCGCTTGGAGTTCGCGCGGCAACAAGCCATCTTGGCAGCAGCTGCGACGCGCATCGAGGCGCTCGTGCGCGGCTGGTTTGGCCGCCGCGCCGCCCATGCGCGACGCGACCAAGTCGCGTCCTGGCACGCGGCAGCGGCGACGATCCAGCGGGCATGGCACGCCTATCTACACCCGACGCATGGCACGGTCGAGTACTCCAAGCTCGTCTCGGACATCAAGTGGCAGCTGCACCTGGAAGCGGCCGAGGCCGAAGCCCGAAAAGACGCCCTTCTCGAGCGGGAACGGCAGGCGGCGATGCGGGACTCGGCGTCCGAGGCCGACAGTGAAGACGATTGGTACGAGCAAGAGGCTTCGTTTTGGTTTTCGCCGTCTCGGAACGAACGCGAGTGGACGCGCCCGAACCGCTTCGCCCGCGAGAAGAGCCTCGTCGGCGTCTCCATCCGCGTCTTTTGGCCGCTCGAGGACGCGTGGTTCGAAGGGGTCATCACAAAATTCTGTGCGTCGCGCGTCAAGCACCGCATCGCATACCTCGATGGCGACCACGAGTGGCTCGAGCTCGATGCGATGGACGAGACGCAGCTCCAAGTGCACAACGGCTCGTGGATGATGTATGAAAATTACTACCCAAGCGCATTGGCGCTCAAGGCAGCGCTCTACGTGCACGTGCGGTTTCAGATCTACTCGGTCGAGTACTTTTGCTGGCGCGCCGGCTGGATCGAGTCGTTTGACGCTACACGGGACGTGTTTCGGGTCGTCTACGACGACGATGCGATGACCATGGTCGATGCTGACCTCTTTGCGTGCGAAGACGAAGTTCGAGTCCAGGACAAGCGGTCGCTGCAGTGGTTCCACTTGGGTACCTTCTTTTTTGGGCTCGGCGATCCGACGCTGCGGGTCGCCGACTACCTCGCGTACGTCCCACCGGTCTACGATGCGACGTACGAGGACGACGGTGCAATCGAATGGAACGCCGCCGAGTACGGAGGCGACACGACAGAGTATGCTACCGAGTGGCAGGACGAGGTAGCAGCTTATGACGAAAGCTTCGTCGCTGCAGCGGATGCGTTTGCGACCGGCGACGCGACGGCTTTCGCAAGTCTGGACGAGCCGAATGGCATGGAGGCAGCAAACGACGGTGATGACGAAGGCGATGAAGACGAGGAAGATGACGCAGACGATGCGGATGAAGATGCTGACGACGACGATGATGCTTCCGACGACGAAGACGACACATGACACGAGCAGTATATCGATTAGAAATCCATACAGCGACCCTTCTTCTCCCAGTCGCCAAAGCGCGTGGGCTCCATGTACTTGCCGCCGCGCGACGGGCCACCCCATTCGGTGCCGGCGGGTCCAATCGTGACCATCTCTTCCTCGTCGTCTTCATCCTCGTCATCATCGAGCACCGTGTCGACGATAATGGCGCGCGCATGTGGCTTGTCATGCTCGGGCACGAAGCTCTTGGGCGCGTCGCTAAAGGCGCGGGCGGCCATCGGCGTTGGGCGCGGCAGGCTGCGGAGGACGCGGGCGAGCATGTCGGAATCTTCGGGGTCGTTCGTGCTGTGTGGCAGCAGCGAGCGTCTCATTGGCCATACGATCTTATATTTCAGCCAATCCCCGTCGACCAATTTATCAGATTTGGACCAATCCGATACCAGGCTTGCCTCCGTGTCGCACCACCATGCATCTGACGCTGCGCGTGCTGATTGGTCCAAAGTCGCGACCGGCGTGGCCAGGGAGAAGCCGTATCCGGATACCCCAAGATACGCGGCGAGGGCTATTTTTTAACGAAAATTAGAATCCAATACAATACTCTAGGTCGAACGATGTCAAGGCCATTAAATTGCGTTGTGGATGGCCTGGCGGCTATTTTTGCGCGGCCCGTATCCGGATGGATACTCAACCGATAGATTCTCCTTTTACTATGCCGAGGGGGATTCGGGACGAGGAAGAAGACGGAGTTCTTTGTGACGACGACGCGACGGACGACGCCATGGCCTCTACCTACGTCACGACGACGGAGCATGCAACCCTTCCGAGCGCGACCGCGCTAGCAGGTACCTCCATCATGCGATCCGCGCATGGGGCTCATGCAACGGCGCTTATGGCAGATGCAACGACACCCAACTCGACACCAACCCTGGGTCCGACGTCGTCCTTGCCGAGCCCATACCTTCAGAGCGGCCGGAAGACGTCGAGTAGCTTCTCCGACTTGGGCGACTTTGACGAGTTTACAGAGCTCAACTACTGTGCGACGCCCGAGAAGCCCGGCCTCTTCCACAAGCCAATGCCGATCCGGGAAGAAGTCGAGCAGTTCCGTCTCAATACCGACGACGACGACACGCGGCCTCGCCACTTGGGCTTGCATGGCACCGGCATCAACCTCTTTCCTGGCGAAGTTCTCAAGCTCCGTGTGGACCATGCAGCGTACATTGTCTTTTACAAGGCGTCGACCGCCGCTGAGCCCGAGAGCCCGCCCGACAGCGCGACGCAGCCGTCGTCGTCATCGTCCGAGTCGGCCTCGGACGTGCCCATGCCGCTCTTCGAACCCGGCGTCCCTGCAGGTACAAATGATATCCTTGTCCGTAGCACCATCTAACTCCTCTGTCGACGATACTAGCACCAACATCGGGGCCGCCAAAATCGCTCGGTGCACTTGGCGCCGCCGGCTACACGGTCGTGACGGCCGACTGCTACCAGCGCTACAACGCAACCCGATCGGGCTCACTCGGGCGTGGCCTCTTTCGTGCGACGACGCATGTCGGGAGCGCGTTCCTCAAGGGCACGAGCACGCTCATCAACCAGACGTACGAGGGCACGACGCGCGGTGGCGTCCTCGGTTTTGCAAAAGGTCTCGGTCTCGGCATGTGGGGCTTTGGCTCGCACACGGTCAAAGGCGCGTTTCGCAGCGTCGGGCACATGACGACGGCGGTCGGCGAAGTCGTCCTCGGGCCGGACCCGCACTTTAGCCTCGACGGGACGCTCGTCTTGACCAACTACCGCATTGTGTGGACGTCGGCGCACGACACGTTTGACATTCCTCTCGCATCGCTTGTCTCGATCGACAACCCGTCGGTGACGGCGCCCCACATCCTGCACATGGAGTGCAAGAACCTGCTTCGGCCGCAGTTTGCGTTTGCGGACGAAGCCTCGTGCGTCGCGTTCATTGAAGCCACACTTCGCCTCTACAGCGACGGCCCGTACACGTTTAGCACGGTGCATTTCAACGCGATTCAGTCGGGCACGGCGCTCGACATATTGGACGCGGACGAGACGAGCACGCCATCGATCTACGAGGCGCTCACGGACTTTGCGCGGCTCGGCTTGACCAAATCCGACGCGTGGACGCTCGTCAACAATGAGACGTACGCGCTATTTCCGACGTACCCCAAGACGTTTGTGCTGCCCGCGGGGTTTACGGACCACGACATTGTCGAGCTGAGCACGTATCGCAGCGCGAGCCGCGTGCCCGCCGTCGTATGGCTGCATCCGCTCACGAACGCGAGCATCTGTCGTTGCGCGCAGCCGTGCGCGGGCCTCAGCGGGTACGCGGCCGAGGCCGACAAGAAGGTTGTGGCGCTGCTCCGAACGGGCGCAACGTATCACTTTTTTGACGCGCGGTCGCAAATGGCGGCTGCCGGCAACTTTGCCCAAGGCAAAGGCACCGAGGACGTGCGCAACTACCCCAACACGGAGCTCCACCACTGTGACATTGCCAACATTCACGGCGTGCGGGCGTCGTACAATGCGCTCGCAGCCGTGTGCCAGCCAAACGCGCCCTCGGACGCAGAGCCGCTCTTGCAGCGCACGCAGTGGCTCAGCCACGCCGCCAGCATCCTCGTCGCCGCCCAGCGCATGGCGACCGTGCTATGCACGGGCGAGTCGGTCATGGTGCACTGCAGCGACGGCTGGGACCGCACGTCGCAGCTCGCTGGGCTTGTGCAACTGCTGCTCGACCCGCATTACCGAACCTTTCGAGGGTTCCTCGAGCTCATCGACAAGGAATGGTGCGAGCTACTTGCACGACATGTTTAGGAGCTCAATCGTGCTGTAGGTGCTCGTTTGGGCATATGTTTCGGTGGCGACTCGGCGTCGGGACCGGCCCCAATGCGGAAGAGGCCACGGAGCTCTCGCCCGTCTTTGTACAGTGGCTCGACTGCGTCTGGCAAGTGTGGCGTCAAGCGCCGTGGGCGTTTGAGTTTTCCGACGAGCTCGTTGCAACGATCTACAACCACGTGTACTCGGGCCTCTTTGGTACGTTCGAGTACAACTGTGAGAAGGAGCACCGGGATAAGGAAGCGCTCGACCCGACGCGCTCGCTGTGGCGGTACCTTCTTCGGCGCCAAGCAACGTTTGAGAACCCGAGCTACGAGCCCGAGAAGAGCTTGCGACTAGTCGGCCAACTCCTCGACGTCAATGTGGCCGAGTCCGACTTGAGGCTATGGGACGCCCATGTGGCATGCGCGGACCCGATATGCCGCAAGTACACTTGAAGGTGCGACCCCGTGCTGCGTGCTTTGGAAGCCGACGGAAGACAAACCCATCGTAGGAGACATAGGAGTAGTTGTTGTAGGACATTAGTTGCAGATGGTCGACGACGACTGCTGCCATTAGATTTGTAGGTAGTGCTAGTAGTAGGTCATGCGGTAACATTGGCGTCTCGTAGAATCAAAAGTTGGCTGATGAAGCGCACACAACAATATTGCTTGGCTGCCATAGACGATGGTGTCCTGATGCTATGTTAGGACGCAAGCAATGTCGTCGAAGAGCTTGGCGTTGAGTTTGGTCTCGAGCCAGCGAGCTCTACGGACAGTATGAACAGTTCGTGAATGATGTGCGACCTCGTACTTGATGTCGCGCAGAATATCATGACTTGGTGCGACGCCCGGGCCTTGATGTGCGCTCGTCGCTGGCGCCATGGGCTGTGACATGAAGGGCGCTGGAGACGCATCCGAACGGCGCGCAGAAGGTGCTGCTCGGGCGAGTCTTGTGGCATGGAACGCCTTGTTGGTGCTGCTTGGCGTCGATTGTAGTTTGCTTGGTTTTTGGTCGATCACTGCTCTGGGCCTGGGCAGGACCACGTTTCTCGTTTGCTCAGACCGTGAAGTCGAAATTCTAGGATATTGCGTGCTCTGGGGCGGCTTGGTGACCGCGATAGCGCGCAGCGGCTGCTTGGCTTCGGTTGTCGATGGCGGCGTCCGGGGAATCACCACGGGAGCCACTGCCATCGGAAGCAGTTGAAAATTGGGAAACGCTTGCACCTCGTCCTCCTCAAAGTCCCCGAGGAGCGCCGCACACGCTTCCATCTCTTGCTGAATGAGCATCTCTACATGCTTCCTGTCAGGAGTTATCAAGGACGCATGCAACCCGTACCTCGCGTTGGGATCGTCGTCGGGCGGGATGTTTGGGGACTCGGCACACGATCGTCCACATGCGGCTTGGCTGGTCGCTTCTTGACAGCATCTACATGCACGTGCTTCGTCGGTCGAGGTCGTCGCACGCTTCCTACACTCCATCGCCCGCTGGACCATCTTGCGTCCATAGGTTGCCTCGATCTGCACGTCCATGCAGAGGGTCATCTTCCCACCCCCTGTGCTTCCATCATGATCCGACGCACCGTCGACCAGCTTCCGGCCGCGGCCAGCGCGCGTATGTGGCGCTTCTTCTCGGCCGTCGTCGTCGTCGCCACCATCGAGCAAATTGGAAACTGGCGCGACTCATCCGGATAACGGCGACAAAGAAACCGTCCAAGATCCACCTTGGCGCCGTAATAATATTCCGTATCCGTATCCAGCACATTCTTTTTTGGGTACATGTCTTTTCCACATACACTATTTATAATGTATGGAGTGAAAATAATTAAAATATATCGCAATTTGCACGTGAGAAAAAATTGATTGGGTGAAACAAGAATTGGCCGCCATGTCCTCGAGCGCCCCGCCACTCTCGCCGACGAGCCAGCCCGATGCGAAGCGCATGAAGACGCAGGAAGACCAAGGACAGGAGTACCACATCATCCTCTTCTACAAGTACGTCCAGGTGCCGGACCCGCAGGCGGAGAAGGCGGCGCAGCATGCGCTCTGTACCGAGCTCGGGCTCCTTGGCCGCTCGCTCGTAAGCAACGAAGGCATCAACGCCACGTTTGGCGGGCCGCTCGACAAGATCAACGCGTACGTCGAGACCATGATTGCGCACCCGGTCTTCGCCATGAGCATCGAAGACTTTAAGCGCAGCATGGTCGTCGACAAGGCGCCTTTCGCTGAGCTCGTCATCAAGGACGTCAAGGAGATTGTCAACACGGGTCGCAACATCGTGCCGCCGGCGGTCTCCATGACGGACGCGGAGCGTGGGTACCTCACGCCACAGCAGTTCCACGAAGCGCTGGCCAAGAAGGACGAAAAGCCCACGGTACGATCGATGACGTTTGTCGCATGTGTGCTGCAGCTCACGCTGGCATGACTAGATTGTGCTGGACGTGCGCGCCCACAAGGAGTTTCTCGTCGGCCACTTCAAGGACGCGGTGGACCCGCAGGTCAAGAACTTTTCCGAGTACTATGCATTCTTGGACCAGCGCATCCCCAAGTTCAAGGAGGAAAACACGACCGTGCTCATGTACTGCACGGGCGGCATTCGCTGCGAGAAGGCGTCCCAGTTCCTCCGCAGCAAGGGTATTACAGACGTGCACCACCTCAAGGGCGGCATCCACCGGTACCTCGAGCAGTTCCCGGACGGGGGCTTCTTCCAGGGCAAGAACTTTGTGTTTGACAAGCGGTACGCCCTTCGATCCTCATCAGTACATTATGATTCATACTGCGCCGCGCAGCGTGCTCATGGGACCCAAGACGGCCGACGTTGTTGGCTCGTGCGTCTCGTGCGCGACGCCGTACGATGCGTTCAACGGTGTGAAAGTCTGCAGCGTGTGCCGGGATCTCGTCCTCGTCTGCGACCCGTGCTTCCAACATGCACACGGCGAAGTGCACTGCCTCGAACATCGCTATCTCAAGGACTGCTACTTTACGTTCCTGCAGTACTTTAGCGCTGCTGAGCTTGAGGCGCAGGTGGCGGGCCTTGAAGGTGTCCTCGCGGCGCTACTCTCCGAGACGGAAAAGCAAAAGCGCAGCCAGAACCGCCGCCGCACGGTGCGCAAGCAGCTCGAGAAGGTCAAGGCGCGCCTATCGCTCGTGCAAGAAAACCCGTCGGCTGTCGAAACGTGGACCAAGGTGCACTGCCGCACGTGTGGCTCCACCGACTGCCAAGGCACGTGCTGGGGCTTCTGGAACGAAGTGCAGTAAGCACAGACAGCTCTACAGACGTCATAAGATACGCAACATGCATAGACTGTGTCATAAGATACGCAACATGCATAGACTGTGTTTCCGGAAGCCATACTGTTGTTGCTGTCTAACGCCTCGAATATGCTTCATTCGGGCTACACGGAGGCGTCAAGATCGGCCGATGAACGTTAACTCGGCCGGTTGACACGCATCGGTACCACGCAGGTATGATTGGCTGAAATGAATGTCGATATCATTCGCTGAAATGCGACCAATCAAACGTCGTCTGGAAACCACCACCGAGGAGCGGGGGTGCTCGGACGCACTTTGACGATTGGAAACGAAAATGCTCATATTCGGTACGTCGATAGAAGACACTTTGTAGAGCACGGAGTGTCAAGTCATTCCGCCGTCGGCGACGCACAGCAAGAGTTCTATCGAATCAAAAGTTAACGACTAACCGACTATGTTAACCGGTTACGTTGCGGTTATCAAACCCCACTGTCGGCTTGGCTCTTGCTTGCGAGCTGCGAGGCGGTTGGCCGACGCAACGTAACTCTTGCAAGTAGACAACGTGGCATAATATTGTCCAAGAGTGTTAACAATCTACGGCGCGGCTGGCTTGGGAGAGCCAAAGAGGAGGTAATGCATGGCGTTGATCTCAACTTCGATGGGGAGTTTGGCTGCCAAAGACATGGTGCGAGGACTGGGCATCGGCGGCGAGTACGAGCCGAGTGGCGACGTTGGCTGCTTCAGTGATGAATTGCGGTCGAGACTTGATGGCGGCAGTGCAGTTGGCGTGCTTGCAAACACCTGAAAGTTGTAGGATGTACTTGACGGCGTTGGTGTTGGCGTCGCCCATATTGGGTGAGAAGCGGCTGGTGGCGTCACCGCGGGGGGAGACAGCGGGTCAACTGCAACCGGACCAGTGTCTTCAAGCGTGTTGAGTCCCATGGGTGACGTAGCTATCGAGGATGGCCGTCTTGCTGTGGATGTTGTGTTGATCGGCAATATCGAGGGACGCCGGACGGCAGCTTCAACCTTGGGAGTTGGTGGCGCTGTGTCATTTTGGTACGCCTTGGCCGGGTCTATGCTAGAGCTTGGTGGTAGATCTTGAGAAACGGGTTTGCTCATGCTAACATTCGCTGACAGGTCTTGAGACACGGGCACGTTCACGTTGGGGTCAGGCGACAGCTCTTGAGGTAAGTGTTGTGCTTCGACTTGCGAGATGTTGGTTGTCTCTGGAGTCCTTACAGAGCTGGAACGTCTGCGAGCAGTGACGATGGGCTGGCTCGTTGACGCGGGATCCACGCCAGGTGAAGAAGAGGCAGGAATCGGTGCTGCAGCGACCGTCGCGGTGGATGCAGGTGCCAGAGGCGTAGCCGGGACAGTGGCACGCGAGGCAGCATACACGGTCCGCTCCGCGGGCGCTGACGCCATGAGACCTTGCAATGACGAAGTCGTCGAGGGTGCAGGCTCTACTGGTGTCGCGCCAGCAGGTGCTACTGGCGTAGCAGAACCCAATACTGCGGGCATTGAGGCAGCTGGCGCCGTAGACGTTGTGGGAGCAGGCGCCACAAGCGTTGGCGATGGCTCAGAGCCAGACACGTCGTGCGACTCAAGTATCGGTAGCACATTTGTTGGAGAAGAGGGACGAGGCTGCGCGTCCACTCTTGCTGTTGCTGTTTGCGACAGAGTTGCCGGGGTTGCCACGACTTGCGGTGTCGGCGGTGCCGAGCGCTCTTGGTCAAGAACTACTGAAGGCGGACCAGTAGCAGCTTGCGGCACAGTCGGTGACACAGTTGATAGCTCAAAAGACGATGCGGTGGAAGGTACCACATCTAATGGCTTCGAAGATAATGCAGCAGAAGGTAGCACCTCTGATGCGGCTCGAAGTTGTAACCTCTCGTGGTCTGGAGCCAAGGTTTGTTGCAGCTGTACGGCTGGAGCTTCGATGCGGGGGGATACCTCTAAGGCTTGTGCCACCGGAGTCGTCGATGCTCTTGCCGGCTCCTCGCCATCGATCAAGTGAAGCGTCTCTGACAGCGGCTGCGCCGACGACTGACGCCTCATCGGCTGCTGGTCGGTCAGTTGCTCGGGTTGGCCAAATGCACTGGGTAGTTTTGTGGGCACTTCTGCACCGTCGGTTGACAAAAGCATCTCTGGCTCCGCTGATGCCCCACTTGCGTCAGAGGCGTTAGTGGGCAGCGATGCGTTCGGTGCAGTTTCCGTTGGCAACGTCACCACAGTGTCCAAGGGACTTGCCGTTGCGCTCAAAAGGACGCCGTCGGGCATACTCGCTTCGTCGCCGCCATGGTCGAAGAAGGGATCTTCTTCATCTTCCGCCGGTACTTGGGTCTCTGGTGGCGCACCTTGGTCACCATTGCCGTCCGCCGCCGTGAACTCAGTCTCCTGTAAAGGCGACGCGGCAACGGTCTCTTCAAGTAGACGCTCTTGCGGCGCTGCAACGGACGTTGGCGCTGTTTGTGGCTGCTCCGGACTGGCTACTGGTGTTGGCGTCGTATTGTTGGGCATTAGACCACGGCTTTTCGTAGCTGGTGGCTCGCTCGATAAAGGGCTTGATGGCGAGATCTTGGCTTTCGTTGGCAACTCGATAACCTGGAAAATAATGGTCACGTCTCAACCAACAACACCAGAAGTACCGGTGCTCTGGGCTGCTCCACGGTCGCAGTATTTCTCGTCGTAGGCCCGTCCAAGTCGTTTGCGGCACTAGATTGAGCAGCGCTGGTCCCCGTGTCGGTACGAAAGAGTGTAGGAGGCGTCATCACTTCCGATCCCGGTTGCTGCGCTGGAGCTGAACTGGTCGTCGGTGAGCGAGGACTTGTCGCTGGCTTGCCTCGGTCATTGGACATGGTTTCGTCGCGTGACACGGCCGGCGCGGGAAGCACAAGTGCTTCGCCTCCGACGCTAGCAGCTTTCGATACACTGGACGGTGGAGCTAGAGTACTGCGGTTGGCCGGCTCCGCGCTCGTAGCTGCTTGACCAAGACGCGCCGGTGTTTGGGCGGGCGTCTCTGGATGCCTCGTAGTCGGCTCGAGGGCAGACCACGGAAGAGCGGCGCTAGCTGGTCTGGGCGTAGGAACCGACGTCGGTACTAAAGGCTCGGCCGACCGAGGTGATGCTGGGTGCTGGCTTGCGTGGCGCTCGGGCTGCAAATGCACAACGGGGGGCGGTCCTGATGCAGCACGCTTTTTTGCAGCTACAGGTTGCGACGACTCAACATCCTTCGACGATGTCGGTACTGGCGCAGGCTTTGATGTGGCCACACCCCGATCGACCAGCTGCTTGGTAACTTCGGGGGCTGCCGTGGCAAAATGCGCTTTTGTAACAATCGGCTCGAGGTCGCTCGAGTCGGTGGCTGCATCCGACACGACTCTGCGCGGCGAGTCGACTTGCCCGCCAAAGTCTGTCCGCCCAGTGGTGTCCGTCGACGGCTCTTGACGACTGTCGTGCTTGCTTGTCTGGGTGCGCTGAATCGGCGCAGAGTGTCCGACCGTGATCTCAGAAAGGTCTGGAGGTACGCTCAGATCCCCTGCGTCATCTTGGCGTGGTGGCGGCGACGGAAGCTTGGGCACGTGAATACTAGACAGAGCCCGAAGCGGGGTGGCTGAAGTCGCGAGGAAGGGACGCAGCCGCTTTGGTAGCTCAAGTAGCGGGGGCGGGTGCATGTACTCTTGCAAATGAAGCGACGGCTCCGTCGAAAGCGCCAGTTGGAGCTGGCAGTCCTTCTCAATGTGTGGGACGACCGGCTTGGGCTTTCCTTGCACCTCAATATTGCGCATGAGGTGCTCCGTGTTTATTGCTGTAAGGGTCACGGGCGCTGCCGGCTCGGTCCCCGCGTCCATCGTGACAACGCTCTTAGGCGGCAACTCGAGGTCGTTCGAGTCGGTGGCGGCGTCCGACATGACCTTGCGCGGTGGCTCCGCTTGCGGCAATACATCTGTCGGCTTGGGCGGCGTCAACGCCTCGGGCACCTCGTCCTTCACTTCGTCGTTTGCGGGATCCGGCTCGAGTGCAATCTTGCGGTTCGAGCCATATTTGAACTGGAGACGGCGACAGATCTTGTCCATGGACGAAGCCATCTTGAGAATCGATGCGACGTCGTCCTGCACAGCCTTTGCTTTTTGCTCGGCGACTTCTTTGGCTTGGTTGTCCTCTTCGTCGTCGTTCTCTTCGCTGCTCGCGTCCCCGTCGTCACTGCTGTTGTCATCGGAATCTTCCGCACTGTCTTCGTCTTCGCTATCATAGTCGCTCGAGCTGGCGACCGACCCCGTCTCGTCGCTCGCATCGTCGCTGCGGTCACTTGCGTCGTCGCCCGTCGAGCTCATGCTTGGATCTTCTAGGATCGAAAAAATCTAGCGTCTGAAACGGGCGCGAATAGTGATCCAACAGACAACATTGTGCACGAATATATACTACCGATCGGCCCACAACCAACAAAATCTTCTAGTGGAGCGTCAAGGCAGTATGTATGCAGTCAGTACTACGGTGGTGAGCACTCGAATACACCCCATATTCTATCCATGTATCTATCTATCTCGTCGTCATGAGAGCAGAGCGAGAAGGGTCCGCGGCTTGTTTCCCGCGGCAAGGCTTCTTCGGCAAAACTAGATACTAGTACGCGGAATCCGCCAGCTACGCCTTGAGGTTGCTCCTTGAATGCAATGTCGAGATAAAGCGAGGACGACAAGGGTTGCTGCTACTGTAGTATTTCTCAAAGTCTTAGGATATACAGCCGCCTGGTATTGCAACAGGCTCTACAAGGAGACGTCGACGTACGGCTTTTCTTCGTGCTCTGTCACGGCGCCGTACTCTGCGTTGTTGTCCATATCGTCGTCCTCGGATGCAAACGGAAGCTTGAGCGACGGCATGGTGGCTCGTCGGATCTCGTCTTGTGGCACGCAGATGCCCGCGGCCTCCTTCATGCGCGGGAGCACGCGGTCCAGCGTGGCCGCAAACTCGCGCGCGTGGTCGCTCTGCAGCGACGCAAAGGCCAGGTAGAGCTGCTTGAGTGCGCTCGCCTTTTCTTCACGGAACTTGAGCACTTCGCTCATGACACGCGCGTGCACAGCTTCGTACGCCGCTTGCGCGTCGGCGAGAGCGTTGGCCACCGCGGTCGGGTTGGGGCTTGAAGCCATGAAGCTGCCAAAGCTGCTGCGCCGCGTCGGCGACTCGGGCGCGGCAGCGAGTCGGTTCACGGCCGCGAGCTGCGCTTGGTAGGCGAACCGCCGGTCTTCGCGAGTCGCGAGCGCGGCTTGGACGCTACCGATCCAGCGCGCAAAGTCGTCAATGCCGTCGGCCAGCCCGTTCCAGGCCACGTCGAGATGGCGCGCGCGGGCATCCAAAATTTGCACAAACGAGGTGAACGCGACCGCCTTCATTTCCGGCAGCGACGCTTCGAGTTCGGCCAGTGACGACGTGGCGTCAATGACATCGCCGTACGCGGCGGCGGCCACCTTGTTGGCGCGGTAGGCTGCGACGACTTTCTGCTGCAGCGCCTTGGCTGAGGCTTCGAGGTGCGAGACGTACGCGGCGATCTGGTCGAACTCGCGGTCTTGGTCCGTCTTGGGCTTGCTAAGGTCCTTCCCATACGCGCGGGATGCGAGCGTTTGAACCTTGTCGTGCTCGGACCACTTTTGAACAGCCTTGCCAAACCAAGACGAGAGCGCTTGCTTGGGCGCCGCGTCCTTGGCTTTGGCCTTGAGCTGCGTGAGGTCGACGGTCGAGACCGAGAGAAAGGCGAGAAAGCAGGGCGCGACCGCCAGCACGTCGTGGCCGGCGACGTTGGTGAGGAACTTTTGCAAGCCGACGCGGCGCGCCTCGAGGAATTCCCGCGAGTGGAGGAGACCGACGACCTTGGCCGGCAGCGGCGGCACGATGCAGCCGGGGCACGTCTTGAGCAGCTGGCTCTGGAGCCACGCAAAGTCCGAGTAGCGTCGGTCGACTTCGTGCAAAATAGGTCCCGCGCCCGCCGACCGAATCGGGTACACGTGGTACGCGTTCACGCCGTCGCCGACCTTGCCTGCTTCGCCCACGTGGATCATCGCGCTGAAATTGCTCAATGCATTCATTGCAGCCGACGCGGTCGAGGTTCGAAAATCGAACCGGCGCGATCTTGCGAAGTCTGGAACATTGGGGCGACGACGACGAGGTATCCTTCGGTGACGCACGGGTGGCTGGGCACCGCCACATGTTGTATGCGCGTGCGTGCGTCTTTGCGCTTGAAATCGCCCCCACCGCAAGTGAAGCCAGGACCAGATACTGTGTTGTGGTGCATCGGTGCATATTTTACAGAGTGATAGGACTATTGCGCAAAGTCGCTGCAGATGCTTTGATTTAGCACTTTGTCGACAGCAACATTGATCGGCAATCCGACACGTCAATGAGGACTCAATCGGTGGTTTGTCGTTGGCGCTTGACGTGATGGTGATGGACGGCCTCGTCGGTGGTGGTCGCGTCGTACCGTAGTTTTCGACGCTGCACGTCGGCCAAGATGACGTCCAGAGCCATAAGACGAGCGCGGTCGTCGGTGTCGACCTGCTGCGCCTTGACATATTTGGCCAGTTGAGTATGGTCGACGCCACCTTGCGGCTTCAACTTGACGACGTAGTCACGCGACCGACGGCTGGGGATCAGCTTCAGGCGACAACAGTTGGTGTCGATGCATTGCTGCACTCGACTGCATGGCGTCGTAGTGAACAGCAGACACTGTGTCGTCTTTGTGCCGTCGGCCAAGAATGCGGCCAAGTGCGCACACAAATCACAGTGCTCTGCGTCGAGTGGAACGTCGCTGAAGACGTAATCGGTGATGTCGGGAAGCGGTGTGCGCGTACGAACAGGACCAAAAACCGCAAAGCAGCGCTGCACGACGCGCTCAATCTCGTCCACGTGCTGCGGGACGACCTTTGCCAGCAGCGTCGCCAGCGGATAGTAGAGGTCCCGTGCCGGGTCCCGGGCACCAACGATGAAAATCGCTTCGAGATCCGCGTCCAATTGCGGCACTTCACGATCCACGGCGTCGAGCCAGCCATGCAAGAGCGACGGCACCTGGCTTGGGTCGACGATCGCGAGCACTTCAACAGCAAACAAGCCGGGCAATTCCCACGATGTGTAGCAGTCCTTGTACGTCGGGTGCCAGTCATTTTCGGACAACAGCGTCGGCGCAAGCGCCACAACAAGCGACGAGATGCAAGCGCGCAGATCGTCTGGCAATGGCGACGTCCGCTCTTGCAGTCGTTGTCGCGTTCCCGCCAGCGACGCTGGAAACAAGAGCGTCCAGCATCTTTGAAACGCAGCGACGTCACATCGGCCTGCTCGCTCCAGCACAGCGACGAGGCTCGCAAAGATGGCGGCTCCAGCCTTTTCGTATTGCACGCTTGACGCATCGAACGTCACGAGAGCGTTCTCAATGGCGTGCACGTACGGGTCCACGGACATCGTTGGCTGGCTTTTCAAGGCCGCATCGAGCGCTTCGGGGACGTATTCGAGCAGCTTCTTCGGTGGCAGCTTCTTCATCACCGCGAGCAGCGTCAACGTGCTTGGCTGACGTATATACAGAAAGGTGTCGACAGCCAGAAGCATGTTTGGTGGCAAGATGGCCCCGAGGTAGTTGCCACAGACCGAATTCGGTGCGAGCTCGTCAAAATACCAATCGAGGAGGACAATATTGGCTGCAAAGTGACGGAAATCGGCGGCATTCATGTCGTAATCTGGGAGAAACTGGGGCTGGCGCAAGGCGTGGTCATAGCAGCCCTTGATAAACTCACACACAAACGGTTGGTAAAGTGGCGGGCAGACGGTCGTGGTCGTGATTCCAGCGAGGCTCGCAAGAAGACGCGGGGTGGTGCCGCAATTAACCCAAGATGAGGCTTCAAAGGTGCGTTGATGCCAGCGCGACAGGAGACCATGTATCGCGGGTGCGAGTTGTGGCCAGCCATACCGCGAGAGGCACGCATGAATGCACGCCGCCGTCTCGAAGAGAGGCATGTCGTAGCACACAAAAATGGCGTCTCGGAGAAAGACGAGGACCAGCTCAAAATCATCGAGTGCCAAGAGGATGTCACACACGGTGGTGAGAGCTGATTTGGCCAAATTATGGCCACCGGGGTGACCGGACCGAAAGACGCCAAGTGCCCCATGAAGAACATCCCGCCCGGACGGAAGGCCAAGAAGCGGCTGGTCCATTGCATCGTTGGTGACCGCATCTTGTAGAAGCGGCAAGACGTCGTCGAGACCAAGAATGCTCGCGCGGTACCTTTTCAGCCAAAAGAGAAGCGCGAACGGAGGGCACTCGAGCGTGTGGTGGTCGATCGGCGTGCTGTCAAACAGAATAGCATCGACGCTACTGCCCACGACCGCCGCGATGACTTCTGGCGGAACATTGCACGCGGTGTGCGGCGTGCACGTGGCAACTTGGTTTTTGTATTTGCGCTCGTACGCATCCTCGTCGTCTTCGTCCTCGCTGTAGCCATAGTCGCTTCCACCAAAGCCGCCACGTCGCAGCACCTTCTCGAACGCAACGTCGGCGCCCGACTCGAGTTCAAATGTGACAAGCGCCACGTCATAGAGCTCCGTGGTCAAGAGCGCGTGCACCAAACCCGCTTCGTACGTGCCGAGGGTCTCAAACGTCCAAGGCGTATCCAGAGGAGTCGGAGGGTCGTCCATATCGTAGTACGCAATGCAGTGGTTTGTGTGAAGAGGCAGCTGCGCGACTTGGTTGAAGGCGCGAATGCCGTCCTCGTGGTCGCACGGCATAGGAAACCCATCCTCGTCTTCGTTTTGAACTACAAGTCGGAAGACGAGCGCCATGCGCACCCCGTTTGTGATTGGCGCAGACGTAGCAATCAAGTCGCGGAAGGTCGTGACCATTTCGACGCTAGCCTTGTCGGGCGTCCACGTCTCGGTGATGTAGCCGTAGGCGAAGGTCATGTCGCCGCCGTCGTACGTCGATGGTAAGTGCAAGACCATGTAGCCATATGAGTCAGGCGGCATCTCGTTCGGTACAAGTGCCGCGCTACTTCCGACGGCATCGACGACGAGATGCGAGAGGACAAGGTCGGCGTCCGTGATCGCATACGCCACTTCACGAGACAGCACTCTCTTGACGACTTGGCGCCACTTCTTGGGCTGCGCAAAAGAAAAGGCCGTCGGGGGCACTTTGCCGTTGGCCACGTCCAGTGCCGCGAGTGCCGCCGCATGTGCCAGGGAGAGCGGCCACGTGACGACGCCATCAATGCCGTCGATGCGAAGCAGCGGTGCGGCGCACTCCTCGACGAGACTTGTCCGCAAGTAGGTAAACGCGTCGTCGACAGCCTTTACCGCGTCTTCGTAGACAGCCTTGTCAGGGTCACGGCTGTGGTAGAGTTGTATCCACGACATTGTCGTTTGGCAACGGCCGAAAACCACTTCGACCCTTCAAGCCGATTAGTGTTCGTAATTCAGCTCATTATCCGGAGGACCAAATTTTGGTCCCATAAATTTCCTTGTGTTGAAAAACCGCCCGATACTTCACTTTAGTTCCATTCCGTTCGCGCCACTTTTAGCCTAAATCGAGGTCGCCCACTTCAAGTTTAGGATTTCAGGACTTTTCGAACGAAAACAACGTCGAGTCGCTTCACACAGCGACCGCTTGTGCTTCATTTTGCGTGTCTTCTAAGCTTATCCAGCGGCAAGAAGGAGCTCCAAAAGGAACCGCATATATGCTTGAACAAGGACCGGATAGTCTTGATGGGTACGGTGCCCGAGGTCTTCGATTTCCCAATCGTGCGAAGCTGGAGAGCGATAATCATGGCGGTGGCCTCAGACTCGGCGCAAGTTGTATACACAGAATATATAGCCGTTAGAGTGTAAGCAGACACGACATACCAAACGACCTCGGCGTGGCAACTCGAAGCCTCCTTTGTTGTTTTGCCGTCGGTTGTTGCTGTTGTCTTTTAGCCATTGATATTGGGTGAGTTTGAACCTTGGCGCGCACTCCAAGCGCTAGTCTAAAGCAGTATAATTTTCAATATATATTTGAAATCTATATATACAATTACTATGCTTCGTCCGAGGGCACACGTTATCTATGTCGAATATAAATATCTCACGACGATTCGGCTTGTGCAATATGAGCCCCCGTCACCGCGCCTACAGACCGACCTTGCCACACTTGATTAAAGTATTGCATAGCTACGTCTCCGTCCTATGCCTGCGTGGGAGCTATCACGGACCAGCAGCTGCGCGCGCCCTCGACGACGCTTCAACGCCAGCCGTGCACCGACGCTGACCTTCGCACAGAGACACCGAGCCGCAATGGTTGCGCTGCCCTAAGCTCCATACAGAAGCGTGCGTCCTTGCAACTATGATATCCCGTCGCCCCGTCGTCGATCGATCCGTTGCTATGACACCCGACTGTACCAGATGGTGGGACCATCGAACGCCCGCACCACACTTTCCAGATGCCGCCAAGCATGTCGCGCCTCCTCGCGCTCCTCGCGCCGGTCGCGGCCGCCATCGACTTTGCCGCTACGTGGCGTGACTGCCCGACGCGCACGTCACCGCGCGCCCAGTGCGCCGACGTCATTGTGCCGCTTTGCTACCCCGGGATTTGCCACAGCAACGCAACGCTGTCCGTGCATCTCGAGCGGATCCCGTCGACGGCGCATTCCGCCAAGTCGCTTTGGTTTCTCCAAGGCGGCCCGGGTCTCCCCTCGTCCAGTCGTACGTCGCCGGGTTTTCTTCTTCTTCTCGTTCATTGACAACATGCGCCTAGTTGACGAGGCCATGGTGCGCGCCTACGACGCCGCGAACGGCTCGGTGAGCGTCTACACGATGGACCACCGGGGCACAGGGCGCAGCAGCCGGCTCGAAGATGCATGCATTGGCGTCGACACTCTTGGCTGCTTCGCCGCGCTCAAGGCCAAATACGGCGACGACGCACCAAGCGGATTCTCCGTCACGAGCGCGGCCACCGACCTCGCCGCGCTTCTCCAAGGCCCGTCGCTGCGCCACGACGAGGTGTACATCTACGGCGTGAGCTACGGCACGTACTGGGCGCAACGACTGATGCACTTTTCACCGCCGAACGTCAAGGGCTACGTCCTCGATAGCGTCATGTCGGCCAGCCCTATGAAGCTCTATAGCCAGTGGGACGCCGACGTGGCAGTGACAGGTACGAGCTCGATGACAGAATGCAGGAGCACTCACGCCTCGTTTGCTGGAGCAGAAACTATATTTTATACCCGCTGCGACCGCGACCCGTTCTGTGCCGCCAAGATCGGTCCGACGTCCCAGAAATTTGCGCAGCAGCTCCTCGCCAAGCTCGATGCTAACGATACAGCGTGTGCCCGCGCACTGCCGTCGACGTCCATCGTGCGGTCAACGCTCGGCCGCCTCTTTCGTGAGCCGTCCCAGCGCAACATGATCCCGGCGGTGCTCTACCACCTCCACAAGTGCCTCGACGACTACCCGGCGCAGGCACGGTTTGTGCAAAACCTTCTGGCGAACGCCGTGGCGCCGCTCCCGATCGACGGCGGCTCGGACCTCCTCCACGACGCCATTGTCTACAACGAGCTTTGGGCGTCGCCAACACCGACGCTGGTCGAGCTACAGGCACAAGCCGCCGCAACGACGTGGCAGCCAACAAACAACATTGCGCAGCGCCTCGTCGACTACTGTCTCTACACGGGCGGTAGCCGTGACGGCGCCTGCCGTGACGTGCCGTCCCCACGCATGACCTTTGCGTATGCCCACGACACGTACTGGAATGTGTCGGCCACGTTACCGGGCAGTACAAGTGTGCTTCTCCTCTCAAGCGACTTGGATGCGCAGACGCTGCCTGTGTACGCTTTGGCTGCGAATGCGTCGCTCGCCAGTGCGAAGACGCGGCTCTTGCGCTTCCCGAACGGCGGTCACTCGGTGCTCTCGACAGCGTTGACGCCGGTACGCCTCTCTAGCGACTCGCTGAGTGTTGATGAACGATGTGCCTAGGGCGGGAGCTGTGGTGCGCAGTTGCTCGATCAATTCGTCGCGACCAGCGGCAATGTCGCGGCGCTGGACGTCTCGTGCATGGCAGCGATCCCAGCGCTGCGGTTTGATGTCGTGTACGATGCGGAGAAGGCGAGTGAGCTATTTGACTCGGCTACCGACATGTATGGCCCGCTGCGAGTCGTCGCAGCGCAAGCCTCGGACGCAACGGCTAGAGCCTACGACGACAGCTACCTTCTCGCGGGCGTCGGTGCTGTCGCGGGTGTCGCGATGGCGGTTGGCTTGGCGGCGCTCGTCAAACTACGTTCTCACCAGCGCACGCGCCGGCGAACGCTCGTGCCCCAAGACGCCGACGACCTGCCGCCCACCGTTGTCGCCGTGCTCCGGCGCGCCTCCATGGCGGACGACCTCGAAGAGTGCAAAGACAGTGACGACGACAACGACGACAATACCTCGGACCAAAGTAGAACAGTGTAATAGCAGGCGGTCATACTACAGTCTTCGTCTCGATTGTCTTCGTCAAAGATCAAGGTTGACCCTGTTGGTCTGTCGATGGGACGCTACTGCTCTCTTGTGGCGGCGCGCACAGCTCCCATATGCGCTGGGCATAGCCCCTAACCTCGGGATTGCTATCCTGAAGGCTCTGGCGCGCAGCGGCGGCAATGGCTTCGCGCGATTCAACATCGTAGTACGTGATCCGCCAGAGCGTCCGCAAGGCAGCGACGCGCACCTCATCCTCGTGCTTGCCTAGCAGCCGGAATAGTGTGCTGGGGAGTGGTAGCCCACGTAGCAGCGCCAATGATTCGGTCGCATCGATAACATTAGCGATCACGTCAACAGCGTCGACAACGGTGGCGCTGTCATCGACCTGGACCAGCGCACCGAGAATTGACGCCAGTGTGCTGCGGTGCGGCTCCACAGCAGAGGCGAAGGCTCTCGCACCCGACATGGCCTCCACTGCCGATGCGATACCGCCATGCAGCTTGGCGCGGTCCCGGTGCCACAGCAGCTTGAGCAAATGCGGCAAACTCGCACGGACCAAGAGCGGCACGCAAGACGCATCGTGGGCCGCGACGTTCCGAAGACGCTGCAGCGCCGCGACTTTATCCGCAGCGGCGCCCGAGTGCAGCGTCTCGTGGAGGTCCTCGATGGCCGCGCGACGGTTGTCGCAGTAGAGAGGTCGGCGACTCGTTGGCAGCATGGTCGTTTTGATATTTGCTGTGACATGTTGGAATTAAGTCGTGTGATTGGTAAAATTTGAAAAATGGCACTAGAAACCGAGAGACCAGGTTTGTTGAAATGCTATTTTGAACCGTAGCAATAACTTCAAGTGTACTTATCGAAGCGTAACTCATTAGTAGGTAAAGTCTTACCTGTGAAATTTTACATTTCACAAAATAGACGTGATGCAAACACAGAGTATGATACCACTGAGTTATACTTCTCTGTCAGGCAGATCGGGGTGATTTCCGTGGAGCCACTAGCTGAATTTTCCTACTAATGAGTGCGACGCTATTTATTTTCATGCCTTTACTCTTTGTAACCTCGACCCTAAACCGCTAGCGCGCGCGTGCGCCGCCGGCCAAAGGGTGTACTCTCGCTTGACGAGGGCATATGCTTCTAGTTTTGGGTGCGTGTACAGCCAGATCACCGGAACTTGACTATCTGATGTCGAGGAAATTGATGTCGTCGCGCATTGGCGTATGCTGACAGCAAACACTAGTTCTAGTTCACATTCCATTTTGCATTCTCGTACACATGCCGATGTTCAGGGAATACGGCCTCCCTTCGCATGTGTTTGTGTTGATGGGCAGCCATCCGGTCACGGTCACATTGACCTCAACAAACTGCGTCGCTTTGCCGCCGATCGCAAAGCCTGGAAGGCCTTTACGAAGCATAGGCCTCACTCGCGGCCACAAGCGCCCATTTGCGACTACAAGAAGACCAAGACGAGCCCCCGCGCCGCCGCCTGCGCAGCCACGGCCCGCGAGCGAATGGAGAAGACGGAAATTGCTAGTCTCTACGTATGCGAGGTCTTTGTAACATCGAAGATAACGCGAAACGCATACATACTAGGTGCAAAAATACTGACTGCCCCTGGGCACGGGTTCCTGTACAGTCTCATCCCAACGGTCTTCCCGTAGGACGATCTACAACGATGAATCACAACGCCTTGTCCCCGGCCCAGTGGTTCGAGAGCTGACTAGATATGAATATCCAGTGCTCAACCACTGTATGAGGCATCAACTGCCACAGGTCATCCAGAGACGCCAGCGACTGAGGTAGCGCCAGCGACTGGAGACTACAGTCATAATGGGATTGGCGGAGCTACAAACAAATTGTTCTTCGTTGATCCACGTCAAGGCCGAGCTCGGACCCACACGCCGCGTGGCCTCGAAAGATCGCGATCGGTCCGAGGTGGGGCAAGCCGACACAACCTACGACTGACGCGCACACGCCGCATTGCTCATTTTTCTTTTTCATTCGACGCTCGATGCGCTTCAACCAGTTTACGCTTCCAGCAACGGACCTTCCCGCGTCCATTGCGTTTTACTCGCGTCTTGGCTGCTCGCCGATCGTCGTCACGGAAACGTACGCGCGCTTCGAAGACGGCGCGGGTGGCAGCACGTTCTCGCTTGAAAAAGTGGACCAAGAGGTCCCCAAAATGCCCGGGCATCACGCCATGACCATGTACTTTGAAGTTGACGACGTGGATGCGACTGTCGCAGCGCTCTCGGCGCAGGGCGTTGTGTTTGACGAGCTCCCGGAAGACAAGTCGTGGCTCTGGCGCGAGAGTCGCCTTCGCGACCCTGCAGGCAACCGCGTGTGCTTGTACTATGCTGGCAACCAGCGCCGCTTCCCGCCGTGGCGCGTTGACGGCCGCACAGCTCCGTAATCGACCCTTTCAACACGCGTCTATTTTTAGCGCTTCGATTTTTTTGAGTGGGTTCGATATTTGAGTGGGTTCGATATTTGAGTGGGTTGAATTCGCAGGCGGGTTGACCGTATTGGTACATAAGACAACCTAGCAGACTGCAACATGCATACCCATATGTTTGGTTATGGACACTTGTTAGCTCACGCATGAGCCTTTTGTTGGGCGATACGTGGTCGATTTACCGAGCGTGGTGTGTGCCGGGGCGGGTTTGAAGTGGTAGTTGTCGATCCACGCTACAATGTGCGGTGGCAAGAGCGCGTGCGGCAGCAACGACGGCATGAGGTCGTATACCGACACGATCGCAATGACGTTCGAGCTTGCATTGGCGGCTGCGTCGCGCGCACTGCCAGGCACATCCTGGGCGATGACTGCAATCTTGTGCGTCACGGGCGCTTCCTTGATCATGGCGTAGCCGAGCATGGCGATCGTGCTGGGCTTCACAAAGAGCTTGGTGCCGTACTTGATGCAGTCGTTTTCGTACAGTGGCAGGACCGTCACAAACGACGGTATGAACTGCGTCGCCAAGAAGTCATTTCGCGCAAAGTAGCGCAAGTCCAACAACACACGGCGCTGCAGTAGCATCGGAAGTACAATGCTAATGGCCAGTGTTCCAAAGAGGCAATTCAACACCGTGGGTTGCAAGAGCGAGACCGCTGTCGGGACCTCCAAGGTAGCAAACGCGCCAAGTGCAAAGGCCCGAGTCGTGTTGGGAAGGTGCACGGCGACGTCGGCCGCCGGGAGTCGGCGCCACAGCGGGTCTTGGAGTGTCGCGCGGACGTTTTCAAAGTTGCACGTCGCAATGACGCTCGAGATCATCGTGCCGAGCAGTAGGAGCGGCGACACGACGCGGATCGCACGGCCGTGGCACCAGCGCGGTGCGGGCACCCGTTGCAGAAGGATGATGGCCCAGTAGACAAGAAAGACGGGAAACCCACTCACCATGAGCACGGCGACGCAGTGGACGTTAAAGTGGCCCGTTGTCTCCAAGTACAGCCGCGTGACTTCGACGTACCCGAGCGAAGGGATGCGCACAATCGTAAGAAAGAACAGCGCGAGGCGTCGGCGCTCCATGCTCGACACAAAGTCGTACGTGAGCACGGGCTTGCGACTGAGGACGCCGGACCAGCCCAAGAGCGTTGTAAAGAAATCGCCATTCACCAAGTGCAAGACCACGAGCACCAGTATCGGCTGCAAGACGACAAAGTCCATATAGTTGGACACCGTGTGCGAGCAGGTCCAGCCGACACCGAGGAGCGACGACGAAGCGATTCCTTTGTAGGTGACAGCGCCATCATTTAGTGCACTTGGTGCTACAAGCACTTCGGCCACACAGCCGTACGTGCACTCGTACCGCGCACCAATCGGCTGCGACGCAAACGCCCATGTCGAGTGGTTAAAGCTTGTGCGCCAAGGGGCTGTCTTGCCATCGGACGCGAGAAGCGTCTTGATGACGCTCCCAGACACGGATGTGAGCTTACCGGACGAGTCGACGCGGGTTTCGATCGCGCTTTGAGGCGCGTCCATGTAGCTCGAGAGTAAAAAGACGGGTGAGGAATAATTCATTGCAGTCTCGAGAAGCGCGAGCCCCAGGACGGACGATACCACGGACGATGGGGTGCAGGACACGGGTGGCGCCGATAGTGGAGACAAAAGTAGAAGAATGGCGCCAAACCCAACATCCGCGCCCATGACGCACGTCGTGACATGGACGGATGCTGACGGCAGTTGCTGCACGAGTGTCTGCGCGACACTGTGCATGACGTCCGTCATGGCCCGTGTTCGAGGACACGTCGCCGTGTCAAAACCGGCAGATGTGAGGACGCACTTGGCTTCAAGAAGCAACCAATCGCGCGCAAACGCTGGCGACGTCGTTGTCGAGTGTCGGTTCCATAGTCCATTCGAGTACAAGATGAGGATCGATGTGATAAGGACGGCGACGAGGCTGAACTCGGATGTATTGAGACCGAGTCGCAAGAGCACTGTCCGCTGAGGCACTTTGGCGCTGTGCTCGATCGTATGTGTCTTCTCCGACTGGCTGGGCGAGTAGATGCTCGACCGACGCGAGTGCAGCGTCGATAGCAGGGACGACACGAGCCGTTGGAGGACCATCGTGCGCACGAGCTTTCTTTTCAGCGACCTTTTTACGGCTAATTAGAGATGAATGCTGGCGGTTGTACAGTCTGTCGCCGAAAATAACTCTATTGTACGATCACCGGCGGAAATAGTTGCAGTGGCAGGACAGTCATGATCGACGGCGGGCGCTCGCCCACGAGGGACTTGTTCCGGGCAAAAAATGACGTCCAGCGCTGGTGCTGCCACATGGGCACAAGAATACTGTGTCCGACGCAGGCTGCAATCTCTTGAGCAAGCAGCGTCGCCGACAACACCTCGTTGGTGTCTTGGTTGTAGGCAGACAAAGCTAGAGGGACGACAGGCGCTGCCAGACTGGGTCTTGCTTGGTGCATACTCTTGGAGTTGGTGCCGATGCACGTGACAAGTAGAAGCAGCAAAGCGCAAACTCGGGCAGCATCGCAATACAGAGCACCGCGTATATGGAGAACACGTCCAACGACATACGCTTCAGCTTTTCTTCGCGCATCACGTCGCGTCATCATCATCCACCGAACTTCCTGACGCCATTTTTGTCGATTTCAAAAGTTAGCTAGCCCAAAGGTCGACCGCAAAATGTCATGGCAAATACGTAGTGCAAAGGCCTCTTTGGCAGCGAGCAGGTGCGTTTGAAGCGCCTCTTGTTCATCGGGTGAGAAGGGCGCGTAGATCGCCTCAAAGTAGGCGCCAGGCGACGCCAACTGCGTAGTGTCGACGATCGTATCGTGGTCATCCCACGCTTCCGTGAGCAGCTCGAGCACTTCAATTCGCGCGTCCTTCTGCAGCAGCAGCTTCCACGCTTGCGCAAAGCTGGTACTCAGTGCAACACATACGCAGTGGATCTCGGAGGGCGGCACAAGACTCAGCAGCGCCGGTGTCGTGGTCGCATGTGCTGCCACGTGTGCCGCCATGCCCGTCGGAGAGGTGTCTCTACATTCCGACATGAGCTATGCAATCACTATGGTCGAAATGTACGGAAATGGTAGCGACTAGACCATTGAGGGTATAAGCCATCCACACATTTGGCTGAGACCACGTACCATGCCAAGTGTAGCTCGCTGATGAACGAGGTACACCTGCAGCGCATGCTTTCGGGCGTGCGTCAACATGTCTTCCATAAGCACTGCACATAACAATGTATCAACATATCAAGTGAATGGTACGCGTACCTCGTGCGTAGTAGGGCTGCATATGCGGGTGCTGGACCAGTGCTGGGCGAAGCCCGTCGAACCAGTAGTTGACTGCAATCGTGAACGGGTCGGACGAGACCTACTTAAACGGTAGCTAGAAGTATTCTTTGCACTAGAACGTACCTGGTGCCACCACCCTTCGGGAATGAAGAGGGCGTCTAGAGAGCATCATGAGCGTTCGTGGATCGTCGGTGAGCCGCAAACCGACTTGTCGGGGTCACGGTGAAGGTCGCGTCAGGTGCGCGCGCGTCAAGTTCGTAGAGCGTCAATTGCGCGTGATTGGCGGACTTTGAGGTGACGGGGTGCGCATCGACGTTTGTCGTCGGCGCAAAGAGCTTGACGTGCTTGGCGCCACGGACCACCGTGAGTACGTTGTCGTACGCGTCATAGTGCAGTGTCGTGCGGCTCGCTTGCAGCGTCATCCACAAATTCACTTGGGTCAGCGCCATGCCCGCGATCGCCTTTGGTCTATAGTATCACAAGCATCAACAAACAAAACGAACGACATGGCCGCAAGGGTATCGTACGGCGGAAAGGTCGAGACCAAGTGCGGTAATACCGCTGGCGTCGCCGGGGCGGTCGAGTGCAGTGGGCACTGCGCAAGGTAGAACTGAAGCTCGTCTTCCGTGTCCATGAGCCAGTGCGCTTGGCCTCGCCGCTTGGCCTCGTAGTACGCTACAAAGTCGCCTGCCGACAAGTTCTTAGCTATCGCCATATCCACCGACCACGCACCGAACTTGAGCTCGACGCTTTGACGCAAGCGCACATCTCCCGAGTACGCATCCTATACGCCGGTCACCATTGTCGCGTCATCGGCGAGCGCGTACCTCGGCCACGGGCGCACACGCCACGTCCACGACTAATACCACACGCTTCCAGCCTCGTGCTGCAGAAGAAAAGGGCGTCGCACCTGTCTCGTGGTGCGCTACGAAGCCAGCGCTAGCGAGCAGCGCCGTCGTCGCATCGTCGTCGCCCTGCGCAGCATGGGCATGCCATGCCATTGGCAGCAGGCAAGGGCGGCGGTCGGCAAACATCGTCCGTCGCGTTATCCGGATGCGGCTGCGGATGTATCTTGTACGGTTGCGCCAGCTTGGTCACAATGTCGGTGCTGTGTTGATGATGACTTGTCGCCGACAAGTCATCAGCACCGTGCCAGAAGCTCGTCAGTTGCGACGGTGGCTCCGGGTTACGGCACGTGAACTGCAGCTGGCCACCTCAGTGCGAGCTCGCAGCGCTTCATCGCCCACACCTCGACCTGCAATGGCGCTGGTCGAGTACTGGTGTCGATGAGCTCATTGGCAGAGGCTCCTGCCGACTCGGACAAACAAGATACTAATCTAGGGTCATATTGTCGTCGGTGGTGGCGCTAAATGTAGACAGTGTTGAGACTAGAAAGCGCTAGAACATTTGCACGCGAAGGCGGCTCGTCAAGTGCGGGCCCACCATGGCGGCAAAGTCGACAAGGTGCTGGAGCACGACAGGATGCAACGACGCTCTCGCATCCTTGACGCTGACAACACAGTCGGTAAAGACGAGCTCGATCGCATCGACCGCGTCGTCTTGGGGCGGTGACGCGAGAGTCGTCGCGGGCGCGAGCTGGACGACCTTGGAGGCGTCGGCATCGGCACGGGCTTGGACGTCGGGTGTCAACGGCACAAACGTCAGCGTCTTTGGGCAGAGGAGCTCGGACGGCGTGAAGCGCGCCTTGTACTGCATCTTGACGCAGCTGCCAATGTAGTAGCCCATGTAGTAGTTGCCGCGCGTGCAGCGGGCAATCTCTCGCAGCACCGAGTACGTCCCGAGCTGGAGGTGGGCGTACTTTGGCTTGTAGAAAAAATACACCGACGACTAGTCCCTCCGACGTTAGACATGGTTGACAGATGGGCATTTACCCAGTTGGCGCCGAGGACGTCAATGACGCCAACCGCGACGAGCTCGCCGTCGAGACGGTACAGCTGGAAGAAAGAGCCTTCCGCGGACCCCGGCACCGCGGGCAGCGGCGACTGGACGAGAAACGACTCGAACGAGGACGGCGTGACGGCATTGTCGTCATGGACGTGGGCTTGGTACGCCTTGTAGACGTCGTAGATCTCGGGAGTGTTGACCGGCCGAACGGTCTCGAGCACCCAGTCGCGCTTGCTACTGTGCCTGGGCGACGCAGGTGTTTGCAGCGGCGACGTCGGCGGCGCGCTAACTAGGGCCGGCTCGTCATCGACGCTAAAATTGAGGAAACCGTTGACGGCCGACACTGTCATGTCGCTGGATGGCAGCGTCATGCGCGCAGCAATGGCTACTGCGACGTCGGCGGCAGAAATGGACGCTGTCGCATGTTTCTTGAGCTACGCAAGGGATGTGCACCTGAGCAAGGTGCGAAGAATGATCGACGTACGTAGGCGCTGATCGCGTGGGCCACCGGCGACGTGTACGCCCCTCGATCGATAGCCTTGGAGGCCGTTGCCTTGGTACGCTGCACCTGCACACGACGTCTCTGAATACGCAAAAGATGTGGCGTAGCTACCTGGATCTTGGGCTGCAAGGTGGTTTTGGCTGCCGCCGTGTCGTCGATCCAGGACTCGAGGTACGCCCACACCGCAGTCTCTAGCTGCGTTTGCAGCAGTACACACGTGGGACTCGGTGACGTCTTCTTCGCCTGTGGCCCAGCCTCGTCGTCGTCGTCGGGCCGTTTCCGCTTCTTGGAGCCATTGCGGTGCTCGAGGAAGGCTTCGAGCTTGCGCTGGACACGGACATGGGCCTTGGAGGGCGTGAACTGCGGCGCGTGCAGGCGGATCGTATACGGCACGCAGCAGATCTACCTTGCGCTCACACCATGCTTGTGGGCCAGTGACAGCATCCGTACCTCGTCTCGGTCGGGCTGGTAGAGATGCATGCCAGAGCGGCGCCAGCCTCGGTCAATGAGCGCTTGGTAGTCGTCGATGGCCAGCGAGATTGCCTCGAGGACGTACTGGCGCGACTCCTTCTTCGCCGCGCAGTACCCGCACTGCGTCGGCCGGCTGCCGTATAGACGCACGACCGACATGGCCCAAATCGAAAAGTTGCGCCTTGAAGTGCTAGCACTCCACTAAGTACGATTTATCAACGTGCAGGGCCAACACCAGGTGGGGAAACGCACTTTACAGGACCGCCACTTTTTCATTATTGAATTTTGTGGTAACTACGGCTTTTGTCGGGACGGTCGACCGACAACGATGCACGGCCCGCCCAACATGGACGAGATGGTCGCTTCGTACCTCACGCTCCGCGGGTACACGGGCAATGGCGCGGGCCCGATGGGCGTGGGCCGTGGACCTGTCCAGCTCCAAGAGTTTTCGCGCAACATGGGCCTCTCGATGGACGCCTGCGCGGCCAACCACGTGCTCTTCCATGGCATGAGCAAGGCCGATCCGAACGCATATGAGCATGCGTACTCGAAGCTGCTCCAATGGATCGGCAACGCGCTCGACATGTACAAGCTCGAGCTCCATGCGATCGCGTTCCCGCTCTTTGTGCACTGCTACCTCGAGCTCGTCGCGAAAGGCTTCACCGAGCCCGCAAAAGCCTTCTTCCGCCGTCATGCCAAAGACCACGAGCGTCTGCACCGCCTCGAGTTGCGACAGCTCGGCTGCGTCCTCACGCGCGAGCACTTGACGATGAACGAGTTCGCCAAGCAGGTCTTGCATGCCAAGTTTCAGGTCAAGCTCAGCCTCTTGACATTCCAACTGCTGCACACGTTCTTGAGCGACTACCAAATGTTCTTGCTTCTCTACATCCTCAACGAGCGCGTCAACATTGCAGTCACGTCCAACCACCCGTCCTTGCTCATCCAGCCGTGCGACTCGACAATGGCGATGGTCGACGAGGACGAGTCGCCCCTCTTTCAAACGTCAGGTACATCCCTCATGGTCAACCCATCGTGAAAGCTAATGCGATACAGATGACATCTCGCGCGAGGTCGAGCACACGCCGGACGAGAACCACGTCGCGGCGCAGATCACGAGTGGCCCGTACGACATGCACCACATGGTCACGGCCGCAGGTGGCGAGCCGCGCCCGGGCAAAGCCGGCACGCTCGAAGACTTGCACCGTATTCCGATCCGGTGGGGTGTCTTCCCGTCACGAAGGGTGAGCGTGCACCGCCAACCCACGTCTTCTCATGAGACGCCGTTAGGTGCCCAAGGCCAACGCGCAGGCGGGCGGTGACGGCGGTGACGGCGTCGACGCAGGCGAGAATAGCCTCACGTCGCCTCGCCACCCCGACGGTGGTCCCGACGCGGCCTCGCAGGAAGCTGCGGCCGACAAAGCCAAGCCTGCACCGAAAGCGGTGCGTTCTTCTGTATCCAAGTTCAACCAAGTTGACCGTTGTGGCAGGACGTGGACATGGACGACGGGAGTAGCAAGCTGCAGGATGGGATCGTAGGCCCAACGCCCGACCGTTCCCAGCCATTCCACGCTGAGATCCTCGAAAAGCTCGTGCTGCGGCAAACCGCAGACCTCGTGGCCGAGGTGCGTCGTGGAGCATCCCGCATTTATATCAATGTATCAATGCGGTAGGAGCTGCAAAACGTACAGGCGCGGCTCGAGCTCAATAGCGTGCAGCTGCCGTCGGCGCTCTGCTACACGGTCTGCAACGCGTACGACCACCTGAACAACGTCGCTTTCAACGCGTCTGGGAGCGTCGTTGGCGCTGCCTTTGATGATTCGTCCTTCCGCGTGTGGAGCCAAGACGGCAGTGCACTGGGTGGGTTTCCCAACCACAATGACAACACGTACCTCCTACACACTATGGCAGCGCGGCGCTTTGACGGCAGTTGCGCGTAGGTCGGCCGTGCTGCGTGGCCACTCGGGGCCAGTATATGGCTGCACGTTCACACCGGACTCGCGCTTTGCACTCACGAGCTCGGCCGACACGACAATTCGTCTCTGGAGCTTGGCGAGCCGAAGCAACATGGTGCGGACTTGCGATATAGAGGCGTCTTATTGATGCTTGGGTAGGTGTGCTACCGCGCCCATAGCTACCCGGTGTGGGACGTGGCCATGTCGCCGCTGGGCTACTACTTTGCCTCGGCCTCGATGGACCGCACAGCGCGCCTCTGGAGCACTGACCGCGTCCAGCCACTGCGCATCTTTGCCGGGCATCTCTCAGACGTCGAGGTACGCCATGTGATGATGTACATGGGTCTGACACCAACGGGAAGACGGTCGCCTTCCATCCCAACCACAACTATATTGCGACGGGCTCGACAGACAAGTCGGTGCGCATCTGGGACGTGCAGTCGGGGCAGTGCATTCGCGTCTTTACGGGTCACTACGGCGCCGTGCACACCGTCGCCTTCTCGCCCAACGGCCGATACCTTGCGAGCGCGGGTACGTTGATTACCGCTCATTTGGCGCCATGTGTTGAGCGTCTCGTGTGTAGGCGAAGACGCGTTTGTGAACGTGTGGGATTTGCACATGGGGAAGCGCGTCGATACGCTGCTTGGCCATTCCAAGGCCATCTACTCGCTCGGGTTTAGCCAAGAGAGCTCTATGATTGTGAGTGGTGGCGCCGACCACACGGTGCGTCTCTGGGACATGCACCGCCTTGGGCACGACGCCATGTCGGAGAAGCAAGTCGCAGTGCACGTCAAGCAAAAGCGCAAGACCAACCACGTGCACGGCTCCCGCGCGCTCCTCAAGACGTTTACGACCAAGCAGACGCCCGTCGTCCGCGTCCAGTTTACGCCCCGCAACATGCTCCTCGTCGGCGGCAGCTTCCAGCCGCAGACCGACGACACCTCTGCGTAGTTCTATTGATTAATCTATCGTGCGCTGTCCGCGTGCCACGTCACGTGGTGGTCCGGTCACCGCACGTTCATAGGTAGGCTGGGCGGGTATAGCCAAAGTGCTGCGGTGCGGGGACAGTGTACCTTGACGACGCATTGCTGGGAGGCGCGTAGCACAGCGGCGGTCTTGCATGTGGGAATGTGATGCCAGAGCAACGAGCAAACTCACACTATTTTTGTTATCTTTCGAGTTCCAACGCTGTGTCCTGATGCGAAACGGATCGCCACCAGTGAGTACGTTAATCACTTTCCGAGAGTAAGAAGATGTATACGCGTGCGCAACGAGCCGTCGAGCGAACAGTCACATCGAGCGATCGAGAAGAACGTACGTCGTCGAATGTCGAATATAGGGTCCTCGCATTCATTTTAGTGTACAGTCGACATACCATTGGTTATAAAGATGCTAAATTGCCGGCAAAAGAGCCAATCAGTAGTCGGCGGCGGCGGGCTGCTGCTGGCGCCGACGCTTGCTCGGCCCTCGTGCGCAAAAAATCATAGCGCTCGTACTCGGCCCATCGATTAGAGACGCTTGGGGGTGACGGAAAGCGAAGTTTCGCCGCCGTTGACGCCGTATAGCACCAGATACAAGAGGTGAAAGCTTGACGACTAGTCGGTTAGTTTAACCGGTTATGGTTTCGGCTACAGTGTGGTAAATCCAAAATTCACGTGCACGACACATTTCCCACATGTGAAATGGCGGTGGAATTGGTTTGGAAGATTCGGCCTTCCATCTTTTCACGATGGTGTCGACAAGTGTGGTCGTCGTCCTCGCCGCCGTCGCCGCCGCCGGCCGAGCGATGGAGCAACCTCTGGACCGCGTCGTCTTTGGCTCGTGCAACGACCAGGCCAAGAAGCAGCCGCTGTGGCCGGCCATTGCGGCGCAGAAGCCCGAGCTCTTTGTCTGGCTTGGCGACAACGTACGCTGGTGATTGCTCCTGGATCGCCGGCTCATGTGGCGGCGATAGATCTATGGCGATTACCGTGTCGTGGACGGGTCGTCGTTTCTGCCGCCCTTTACGTTCTTCCGCGATGCGCCGCCGACGATGCTCGCCGAGAAATATGCGTACGTCGCCGTCCCCTCTGCTCGTAGTGCTAATAAGGTTGATGCTAGCAAGCAGCTCGCGCAGCCCGAGTACGCTGCGCTCCGCGTTTCGGTGCCCATCATTGGCACATGGGACGACCACGACTATGGTGCGTCTGCATGCCTCTTGGATGACGCGTGAGTCGCGCGACAGGCCGCAACGATGGCAGCAAGGTCTACCCATTCCGGAAGGAGAGCCAAGCGCTCTTCCTCGACTTTCTTAACGAACCAAAGGACTCGCCTCGACGCCAACAAGAGGTCCGCGGCGAGATCGTCGGCGGCGCCAACTTCAGCATTCTGTAGGGCGTCTATGCGTCGTACACGTATGGCTCGGGCGACCGAGCTGTCAAATTCATCCTCCTCGACGTCCGGTACGTCGCGTACCTGCGTGCGACTCCCTGACGACGGACTACTAGGTACCACCGAGACCCGTACGGCACACTGAACGGGGACTATCTTGGCCCGGAGCAGTGGGTATGGCTCGAGGCCGAGCTCACATCGTCGACCGCGGCCTTCAACTTTATCGGGTCGGGCGTCCAAGTGCTCCCGGACGACCGCTGGTACGGCGGCGAGAATTGGGGCCGACTGCCGGGTGCGCGCCAGCGCCTCCTCAACTTGGTCTTGAAGTCGCCTGCGAAAGGCGTCGTCCTCCTCAGGTAATCCCGTCCGTCCGCGTGAAGATGGGCGTAATGATCGAACTAACAGCGGCGATGTGCATTTCGCCGAGGTCAACCAAGTCGTGTGTGGCGCTGCGACGCTGACCGAAGTCACGAGCTCGGGCATGACTCACGCATGGGTAAGATGCTACCGTACCCTTCTCTCTTATGCACGCGATTTTGGCTGCAGCAATACGTCAACACAAAGCTCAAGCTCTTCCCGACATGGATCTTCACCCTCGGGAATCTCATGCTGCCGTGGCACTACCGCGTCGAGCCGTCCACGTACTTTGCCGGGCTCAACTTTGGCTCGATCGCGTTCGACTGGGCGGCGTCGCCGCCGATCGCAACGCTCGCCGTACACAACACCATCGGCGACGTCAAGCTCACCCAGCGCGTACCCTCGGCGCGTCTGCCAGCATCCGCGGCAAGCGACTGCGTCGCCCCGCACGCAGTGCACCCCGTGACGTACATGCTGCAATGCATCGCGCTGTGTGTCACAGTCGTGTCGCTCGTGCTGAGCCTACCCGCGAACCTCGTGCTCGCACTCATCTTGCTGAAACGCGCCGTGTCGCGGCCGGTGGTAGCAGCCAAGAAGGCCGAGTAGATCTTAGAGCCAAGTACCGGTACGAGGTCGTAATGCATGCGCCACATCTCTGTAGAGGTTGCATATGCAGTCGCCTCGTCGTGCAGTCGCTATGCTTCCTTCAGTAGCAGGCAGTAGCATGCGCCTTCTTCGTCATCTTCTTCTGCGTCCATCCTCCGCCACCATCCTTTCTTCCGTCCTGTCGCCCAAAAATCGAGTACAGTGTATTGGACATTGTATGGTGGACAGGATAAAAAAGTGGATCGAATTCGTTGCGATCTTTCGTGCCTTTCTCAAAACCAGATTTGTACTTGGTGTTTGTATCGCAACACTCAATCTCAATCGTTGACATTCCAGCATTATCCGGACGAAGGAGGCTTCGTGTGTCACGAGGGGACGCCAATCTCGAATCTGCCTCGCCATGGCCAAGTGCACTGCGTGTGAGAAGGCCGTGTACTTCAACGACACGCAAGTCAAGCCCAAGGACGGCCTTGTGTACCACAAGGCGTGCTTCAAGTGCCACGAGTGCGCGTCGCAGCTCACGATCGCCTCGTACACGTACTTTGGCGAGAAGCTCCTCTGCAAGACGCACTACATGATGGCCTTCCAGACCACCAACTCGTACGGCGGTGACGAGCGCTTCAAGAAGCAGAAGGACGAGAACGTCCTCCTCGCTGCGCCCGCGCCGACGGCCTAAACACTAGACGCCACGACAGTTTTGCTCGTCCGCCGCCTACTTGTGTATGCCTAATCTATTCTGCGACTTCGTGTCTTCTTCGCCCATCGCGCTCGCGCGTGTGACACGCAATGGCCGAGCCCGTGCAGGCTGGCGGCGCGGCCAGCGATGGGTGCCAACGACGATGGCCATGCTGCAACAAGGGAGACAGAGAACAGCATCACATCGTTCGCCGTGCGCATATTATAGACGGTAGCAGTTGCGCGCGCTACGTAGTCGAGCTGCAAAGCCTCCGCACACCAGGAAGATCGTCGCAGAGCTTGGTGAGCGTGGCCGAGATCGGCGCTGGCGCGACCACATGGGGGCGGACGGCATCAGCGAGCTGGTCGAACGCACCGTCGCACGGCAACGCCAGCTCCAGCGGTGTGTCGTCGGGACTCACATCATTAGACAGAGCAACGTTGTCGCGTTGTGCGGCTTCTTCGACTCGGCGGTCAAACTGTTCGTTGTAGGCGCGGTCGTCACTTGTAAAGTCCAGCACGGGTGTGTACGGCGGAGGGGCGGGTGCTTCGTCGTCCGCCGAGAAGAAGGGCTCGTATCGCTTACCAGACCACCAGCCGCGCACCCATTTCGTAAGGCGCACGTGCAAGGGCTGTCGGCGGACGTGCTGGAAGCGCATGCGCATCCGCCGCTGCTTCCGGACTGTCGCTGCGGCTTCGTCCGCGTCCTCGTCCGTGTCTTCGTCGTCGGTCGATACATCTACCTTAGGGCGCTTGGGCGTGCGCGCTACAAAGGGCGAGAACGTCACGCGTCGCGGCGATGTGATGCCATCGAGAAAATCCATCGTGTGCAGCTTGGCCTTCCCGGGCTTCGTCGGCGTTGGTCCTTCGGGGCCGCGGCGCCGCTTCGCTGGCGACTTCATCGCGCTCTTCTTCACCGACGTATCGACCCGGGCCTTGGACGTGCGCAGGATGGAGCGCACGGGCAGGCGCAAGTCGTCCATGTCGGCTTCCTGACCCACGGCGACCCAACCGAAATACGCGACGTGCAGTGGCCCGTGGCTTTTTCACACACCGTGTGGGTGTTTTTCACATCATGGCGATCACAAAAACCACGCACCAGGGGTTGCATAAACAAGCAAAGTTGCGTGCAACCAGCATTTCACACATGGAAGCCTCCTCGTGGGAAATGAGACTTTATCCGGATATCCGAATACCGTGCCAGGCAGCAAGGTATGGCGGCGATCCTCGTCCTCTGCGGCCTTCCTGGCGCCGGCAAGTCGACGTTTGCCCGCGCCCTAGCAGACGCTGCTTTGAGGACGTACGAGGTGCACTACATTAGCTTTGACGATGTCTTTGTGGCGCGCTTCGCGGCGAACGACGGTTCGTTTGCGCCCGAGCAGTGGAAAGACGCGGTTGCTGCCATCTACGTCGAGGTAGAGCTCGCGCTTGCTGCGGCCTCGATGAGTGGCAAACCCCGTGTGTAGGCCATATGTGGCTTTCTACGCTGCATGTATCGATCTGCTCTTGTAGACTGCTCTTGGACGACAACATGTACTATCGCAGTATGCGCAAAAAGTACCTGCAGCTGTGTCGACAGCGTACGACGCATCGAGCTACGACCACGTGACGAAGGCGACCTGTTTGTTATAGGTAACGTGGGCTTTGGCGTGATTCATGTGGACACGCCGCCGGACCTTTGCCGCGCCCGCAACGCCGCAAGGCCAAACCCGGTGCCGGACGTTGTCTTTCGCCGAATGCAAGCTCTCTTCCAGCCACCTCGTCCAAGCGCGCAACCGTGGGAAGCCCGATCTATCGTCATCGACTTGAGTACCGCCGACTCCACGCCGTGGGCTCTCGTTAATGCGTATTTGGTCTCATCCCATGTGCACCAGACATGCGCTTTGCGCAGCTCTCGCGATGATCGCTGAGGCAGTCGCGGCGCCAGAAGTCGACACAGCCCAAGAAAGCATGCTTGAAAAGGTGTTGATGTGGCCAAGCGCATGACTAAGGATGCTCTGGACGTAGGAACGCAGCCGAGCGGCGACCATTGCCAGCGTGCTCCACCGAGCAGACCTCGTCTTGCGCCAGCTCGTGGGATCGATCCTTCGGGATGCCAAGGAGTCCAACACGACTTCGCTTCCGACGCTCGCCAAGCACCTCGCACGAGCCAAAGAGGCGGTTCTCCGAGACCAGGCACGCGATGCATGCGACACCGACGACGACGTTGTCGATAGCCTCGTGGCGGCCTTTCTGCGGCAATGTCAATCGTTTCAATAAAGTACGATTGACCGTTTGCGTACTTGTCTGAAATGGTCGCGCAGCACGTGGCCCGGCTGGGGAGCGGTGCGTCGCCGCGGATGCTAGCGGCTCTCATACGTGGCAGCGTTGTAGACGATGCGCTCGCAGATGTCACGCCATCGACGTCGACGACGGAGCTCAAACAGCTGCTCGAGCTCGCCTCCGGGCTCACGCACGAGGTGCTGCGCTTCCGGCTGACGCTGGTGGATGGCACAACGATCGACTTGCGCACGGGCCGATCCGCCACGATGGCTACCCTCCTGCGTCTGATTCAGCGCGAAATCGCAACGACGACGTGGTCGCTTTCGTGGTACGACTACGTAACCCAGGCAGCACTATACGATCACATGCACCGTAGGAAGAGCGTGCTCAAGGCCCACGAGCTACGCTGCAATGGCACACCGCTGGTCGCCCCAGCCAAGCAGGCCGCGCTCTCCACGTACCCTATGGTGCACGTAAATGGCATCAACGAGCTCGTGTTCCAGCGCCATGTCCAGCGCCGACGCGAGAAGCGAAAATAATGTCGTCGAATCAAACGCCGTCGTGCTTCCTCGTTCTCTTTACGACTCGGTCTCGTCGTCTTCCTCCATGGCCGTGAGCAGCTGCTTGAGATCCGCCCAGAGCTTCTCTCGGTCGTCGCCTTCGAGCGCGCCCGTGAGCTTTGCGCTGCGCTCTTCGCCCGTCGAGAGGAACCACAACGCAACGAGGTGCGTGTCGCCATTCTCGGGCAGCGGGAAGCCGTACTTGTCTTCGAGCCAGATCGGCGGGCCCTTGGCGAGGAGTCGACGCAGCTCCGCTTTGCAGTCGGGCTCTACACGCAATCATCCAATGAGCGCGGTGGACGCAGGCAGGCGGTACCTTGCACGCCCTTCATGTAGGCCGGGAACTGCGCGTCGAGGAGCTGCAGCGTGACCTCAGCGCAGAACTTGCTCGCGTGCCACGTCATGCTCGGGTACGTCTGGTACTCGCAGTAGTTGTCATCCGTGATGTCGTCCATCGTGGCCAGGCACTCCATGCCCTCGGCCGGCGCCCCATGCTCGGTCGCCATTTTGTCGTCGCGGCTTTTTCGAAGTTCGAAGTTCGAATACAGTTCGACGATATTCGACGATCCTATCAGGTGGCGGACGTCTGGCGAAGACTGGTGTCTGGGTGAGGAACCAGGCCCGGCTGCCCGGCTTGCCTTCAACTGCGATGCGCCTCGATGCTACGAGCGCTCAGTTGCGCCGGTGCGTGCGAGTCCTACGCTGCACCTGATCGAGCTGCTGCGTGGTTGTCCGTGACAAGATACCGCCGTGGTGCACGTTCGTCAAAGGCAGATGCTGGCGCGGACCATCACGCGAGACACAAGCGCATGCATACTGGTACACGGAATATATTGGATTTTTAGGACACGAGAAGAAGAAGCACGCAATAGTAGAACGAAGAGGACGGACTCACTTCTTGGCAAACTGCTCGCCACCGGCGTAGCTGTTGGCCATGATGAAGCGCTCGGTGTAGTGGCCTTTGCAAAGCAAGGTTTCGCTCGCGTACGTAAAGTTCTTGAGCGTCAGCTGGGTCGCGCACGAGGCGCACTTGAAGCAGCTGTGGTGGAAGACCTTGCCCTCGAGCGCCATCTTGGGGTCGTGCAAGTAGACGCTCGTACAACAGTTGGCGCATTTCGGGCTGCTCTTGACCTTGAACACGATCGGCGTGCCCTTCCGGATGCTCATCGCGTCGTCGCCGTCGTCCTCGCCCGAGTTGCGCCGCCGGAGGCGCATGTCATGCAGCAGAAATGGGTTGGCGCTGAACGAGTCGGTGATCGACGAGATCTTGCGCGGTCGCCCATCGATCGGCAGCTCCGTCTACGTACATAAACCATGAGCCTCATTCTGCACCAGACGCGTCGCCTACGACAGCAGACCCTACCTCGGGCTCGGGTTCGTAATGCTTGATTGGCGGCTGCTTGGCCATGCTCGAGATCTCTTGCACAACGGCCGCCGAGACCACATCGTCCTTTTGCTTCTTAAACTTGTCTTCGCCGCCGTACGAGTTCATGCGCTGGAAGAACGAGACGTAGTGAATCTTGCAGAGGAGCGTGTCGCCGTGGTACGCAAACGAGTTGAGCGTGAGCTGCGACGCGCACTCGGTGCACTTGAAGCACGCTTTGTGGTAGAGGTGCTCGGTCTTGGCGCGGACCTGCAGGTCGTTGTAGTACACGGGCTTGGCGCAGGCCGAGCAGTTGGGCGTTGTCAAAATCGAGTGCACCATAGTCGAGTACTACTACGAAGGACGCGTGCGATTTGGTTGTGGCGACCACAACCTGGTCGGCGAACGCGTCCGGATACGAAGAGCAATCGTACGGATATAGACACGCGTGCAAGCAGATGAAAACTCAGATCCAAAAAAAAGCAGCGCAAATATTTGCCGCCGTCGCAGCCGCCTTGTGGACACGAGGAGCATCCGAGTCGAGTCTCCCTCTGTGTACTACGTACATGATATAGTACTCGGCGACAGAGTCGAAGGATTGACCGCGATCGAATCCTCCCGGCTTCGAAAATCTGCAGATTCCTTGGGCAGTCCGCCCTTCTTTACGCCAAGCGCTCTTGTCCACACGTGCCCAGGATGATCAACGAAAGAACGCTCGACATGTGTATGTGCCCATGACGTCCGTTCCGTCATATGCGCTACAGCCGCAGCGTCTACAGGCGCGGCCTGTTGCCTCGTTCGCGTTACGACTTCTTCAAGAGCTTATGGAGGGAGAGAGGCTGCTTGTATGATAGTCGACTTGATAGCGAGCGTGCGCCATTCCCGAGACCAACGTGATACTACAAGTAGCCGCGATGACGCCGCGGTTTGGTTGCGTCAACACGCGCGTGCGTGTTTTTGAGTTTGAGATTTGGAGCGTATCCGGCGTGTGACACAACAGACTTTGCCATTTGTGATACAAATCGCAATACCCGCGACTGGCTTGTAAAACAGCTGGTAACGTTTGGCGAAAGGCCGCAAGATCGGCGGACGCGTGATGCGCTCGTGGCCGCTCGTGCTTCTGCTACTCGTGCATTGGTCACGCTCGACACGTAGGATGCCACGTTTGCTACTGCTGAGAGACTTGTTTGCGGGTCGTAGTGCTGATTACTACCGCCGACCTACACGCCGAGCTCAAGGATGGCGCTGTTACGTCGCGCCGACTCAGTGGGAGCGGCAACGCCGGCCTCTTCCGCGCGATAAGCGGCTACGGCTTTCGCACGCAGAGCAACGCAGCGATCTTGCCGAATCTGAGCCTCGAGGCGTGTGCGACGGCGTGCGTGCGCGACGCGGCCTGTCTCGCGTTCGACCTCGAAGCCAGCACGTGCTACATCGCGCATACGGACCGCTACGCCCACCCCGCCGACTTTTTGCCCCGTCCCGCGAGCACCCACTACGAGTGGCAAGGTGCGACGACAGGTTGACATGCGCGCACAACACGTGGCATCGTAGGCGCGGTGGCCACACCGACGATCGCGCCCAACGGCGGCGTCCTGACCTCGTACGGCGCGGTCCAGCTCTTTACGACGTCACGCCAGGCCGCGATATGGTACGCGCTCAAGGCCGTCGCGGACGGAGCGACAACAAACTACGCGGCGTACGCGATCGGGACGACGATCACGCTGCCCGAGTACCCGTGCTATGTCCTTGCCTACGCAACCAAAGCGGGCTTGACCGACAGCGCGGTGCTCGTGTCCAACCCGTTTACAATATACGGTACACTGGCCAAGCATACTCGTGCATTGAGAGATAGGGCTGTAGCGACCAAGTACATGTACCTCGTGCCCTTCTACAACGGGTATGGCTTCCACGGCCTCGTCACCCAAGTGCAGCTCGACGTCCAAGGCGTCAAGCGCCCGCGGCCGTCGCGCGTGCTCGAGTTCACCGATATCAACACGACGCTCGGTATTGGACCGTACACCAACCAGCTGCAGACGATCAACCTCACGGCGTACGATCCGCGGCTCGCCGGTTTTTACGATGGCTTTACCGGTATGTATATCTCAAAAGCAGCCTTTACACGTTCAGTTTGAGATAGCGGTCACGACTGTCGGGTATGCCAATGTGAGCTTGCAGTCGTTCCGCAACACCTCGCGCTGGGTACTGATTCCGAACGATGCGTATACTCCAGCGATTGGCGACTACATTTATAACCCGTCGCTGCGCCGCCAAGAAGAGTATTTGTACCTGTGCCCGTACCAAAATGCACTGGGCTACTCGGGTGTCATTGCCAAAGTCAACGTCCGCGGCTTCCAAGCCTCGACAAGGAACGACCCGCCGTTTTTACCACTTGTGCATACGCTCGACCTGACGACAATCGATGCGTCGCTCACTGGCTTTAGCGCTTGCTTTACGAGTATGTATACGTTCTGTTGGTCTAGTTGAACAATAGCGTAGGTGGCAACTATGGCTACTTTGTCCAGCGGCGCAACGCCAACGGACTCGCGGGCTGCATTGTCCGCGTCGACCTCACGCGCTTTGGCACACCGGCGTCTGCTGTGACGGTGCTCAACGCGACCGCGATCGACGCCCGCTTCGTCGGCTTTAGTGGCGCTGTCGTGTGTACGTACTCTATAGCAGAGTATCAACTTGATACATAAAATAACGCCGCTAGTCAACAACGTCGCGTACCTCGTGCCCTTTGAGCGCAACAAGGTGGGCTTGGAGCGCAATGTCAACTACAAGCACTTTCCGACTGCAACGTCGAGCGTCGTCGGCGTCGTCGACTTGACCACGTTTGCCACCGTGACGCCCCTCGACCTCGCCGTCTTGGACCCCAAGTACGCGTGCGGCTACTTTGGGGGCTTTCTGGGTCTGTCATCCTGACATGTGCATTGTTCTCATGTCGGTCTGTAGTGAGTCAGTTTGTCTACTTTGTGCCGTACATGTGGACGACCGACACGACGTCGCCCGAAGTGAACCCGTACCACGGCCTCTTGACGCGACTCAACACGAAGACGCAGACGCTCGAGCAGCTGGACCTGACGACGGTCGACATCTCGCTCCGCGGCTTTATGCGCGGCTTTGCCTGTACACCTCTCTCCTACGTACGGCTTGTTGGGACATGGAATGGGTAGTTGGTCGGTATGCCATATTGGTGCCGCACCGCAATGGTCTGACGACACAGCGCCCGATGCGCCTCAACCAGCCGCAGAAACACAACCTGGGCACGATCGTCGCCGTCGACAACGACAACTTTACGCCGTCCGGTGTCCGGTCCCTCGATCTCACGTTGGCCTTGCGCAGTCAGATTCCCAACATGCCGGACGCGGACCTCCGTGGCTTCATCGGCGGCGGCGTCTCGGGCGAGTATGGCTTTTTCGTACCCTACTTTAACGGCGTGCGCTTCTCTGGTAGGCTTGTAGGCTTCGCCACACGACGTATGTACATAAGTAGGCAAGGTCGTGCGCGTGAATTTGCGGACGTTTGGCGAAGTCCAAGTCCTCGACATGACGCAGCAGCAGGACACGCTGCGCGGGTTTACGAACGCAGTGTTTCCCCAGTTGGCGACGCAGACGCAGACGTCGCTCTGGAATTATGTGATCCCCGATGGCACCCAAGTCCAGTACAACTTTATCACCATCGACATGTAATATACACGACATTGTGTCCCAAAACTCAAAACTCAAACTTCAAACTTCAAAACTCAACATTCAAACTTCAAAAAAGAAACAAAAATATATTTTTTTTCCACATCAGGTTCACAGCCACTGACCAATAACGCCGCACTAGCACACCATGATACACCTCCACGCTAACGATTTACTTGGTCGTATTCGAGACAAGCGCAGTGTTTCCTTTAGCGAGAACACGGATCTCCGTGCTCGTCACCGAATCGGGCAGTGCAGCCGCAGATATCAAGGAGAAGGCTTCAAAGAATAGTCGGTGTTACGACGCCATCGAGTGACTACGGTGCAGCGGCGAGTGGGGTCGTGCTATCGGCAGTGCGAGCGATTTACGCAAGACGAGCGGCTGGCAGTTTTCGCGGTCTGCCGCCGCCAACGCCTCGGTGAAGCGGTGGATGCCCCGGAAGAAGCTACCTGCGTGCATGCGCAGCGTATCCGTGGGCAAATTGAGGAACAGCCGCATCGTCGTCTCGAGCCCATCCATAGTTTGCCCCCACGTCGCATCGCAGCGGCTGAGCGGCGTCGCCGCGTACTCTAAAAAGAGTGTGAACGTTTGAACACAGCACGTTGGCGGCCGCGCGTCAAGGGCCGTTGCAACGTGCAGCACGTGCGCGTGGAGACTCTGCAGCTGCGCGTGCAGCTCGCTCGCCGACATGTGGCTGCTCGTGACGAGCTCAAGCGATGGCAAGGTCGCGCCAAACGCCAAGAGCGTCGCATCTTGGGCCCGAAGCACCTACAGGTTTCGTCCAAAACCCTAGCCCTATGTAGCAAGTTGAGATACATACACTGGCCAGGAAGTGCAGCGCGGTGCCCGTGCTCTGAGTCGCTTGACGGACGTGGCTGAGCTTCTCGAGGTCCGTGAGCAAGTTGAACGCAACGGCGTTGCCGCGGTTCGTGCCGGCGTTGATGTGGTTCCCAAGGTCGAGGACATACCTGAGGACAGCGTGGAGCGCGTTCGACTCGGCGAGTTCTTTGCAGGCTGTCGAAACGATTGTGCAGTCGCGCTCAAACGACTGGACGGTCGAGTCAAATCTGAGGACTGTGGCGAGCAGATCGAGGAGCCGCTCGACATCGGGAATGACGAGCAGGTCGCGGAGAAAGCCTTCGGGGTGCGTCAGAAGCGCCACGTGGCCGTCAAACGACTGCAGTGCCGCCTTCTCTGCCGGTGTTGGCAAGGCGAGGACATGTCGAACGTGCGAGATTTGATCGAAAGTAAAGCCGTCCACCTTGCCTGCGAGCAATGCGTCAGCGACACTCGGTCGCAGCAAGGTCAAGTGGTGTGCGTCCAAAAGCTTTCGAATGTGCTTGGCGCGGCTCGGGTGCAGCAGCACCCTGTGCCCCGGCGACGTTGGCGCCCGCAGCTCAAACGCGACGTGTACTTCGTCGGCGTCGATGTTGCCGGTCGGCGCCGCCTCCCAGATTGTGCCCCGGATCGCATCCGACGACGGCCACTTTTGCCAATGCAAGCCTTTTGGCGGTTTGACCGGCGCCGGCGACGTCGGTGGACTCACGAGACCCGCTATGTCAGATGATACGATGGTCGTCGGCGCCTCGAGCAGCGCCGCGTCGACGCCGTCAGCGATCATTCGCTGCCGAACGAGGTCCCGCGGTACGCGCACCTCGAGCATACGAAAGTACTTTGCGTAGCGCGGGTGGTGCTGCGCCGGCACGTCCGACACGCGTGGAGATAACGGGGCGACGGGCGCCGGGTGGACCTGCTCCACGAGCGCGTCCCATGCCGACGGCTCCGTGACGGACAGAAGCGCCGTGACGACCTTGAGCGCATGGGTCTCGAGCTTGTGGTCTTTGGCGTGGAGCTGGAACTGCTGGATCGCGTCGAGGAGGAGGTCGGGCGGTGGCATGTACCGCCGTAGCAGCTGGAGGCAGCGCGCTGCTTCAAAGGCGAGGACAGTGTCGAGCTCGCGAGTATGTTCGGTGCCATCGCCCTTCATCGCGAGCCAGGCAGGTACGTCTTGGGCAATCAGCCGCTTGGCGAACGTCGCGAGCTGTGGACTCTCGTCGCCTTCCAGAAGCGCGTGAAGGAGGCGCAGAGCGGCTTCCTGGGCGACGTCAGCGCCGTGATCCAAAAGCTCCAAGAGGTCGGCCACCACGCGGGCAGCATGACAGTGCTCCATGGCGCGAAAGAAGGCCACGTGGCCGGCTTGATGATAGACGCACACAATGCGGCATATCTGGAGTACTTTGATGCTGACGCTTTCAGAGGGTCCACCGACGCACGCCAGAAGCTCCTGAAGTCGCTCGCCATGGACCTTGGACGCAAGGTGCTCAAGTACCGATACAAAACTCAGGAGCAAAAGCACGAGGTCCAGCACAGCCACAAGCTGCACAGTGTCGTGCATGGGCGCTAATAGGGCGAGGAGCGCTTGGAGCCCCTCTTCTTGAGTGAAGAGTCGCACCCACCGTCTACCCAACGAGGATGAGCGCACGGGCGACAAGCTATAAAGAGCGCACCGGCGAGCGCGCAAAACCACAAGACGAAGCAGCCGCAGTTGCTCGATCGCGCGTTCGCGTCGGTAGTGGAGGACGCGGAGCTGTTCGATGCACTCGGTCGTTGTCGGCGCCGTCTCGACATGACCCAGTTTGAACCTACAGCGTCGATTCAATCTTCCACTGCGTCGCTTTCGTCGGACGTCGTACAGTTGGGTCTGCTGCCACTTGGAGAGACGAGACTCGAGGCGCGCGAGCTCTTCGCGCACGAGGCCTGTCGCACCCCGATGCGTGATCAGCAGCAAGTAGGCGCCGTCAACGTCGTCGTCGTCGGTGGGCGGTGGCAGCGGCTACAACGTGATTTAGTTGCGCTGCGTCCATCGTGCACGCACCACATCGAGGTCGGCCCACGGCTGCCGGGGCGCGATCCCGAGCCCAGGACATGAGAACGAGGCGCCCATTTTCAGTCGCTGCTGCCTATATACTCTCCAATGAAACGGTTCGTAACTGGCACCCAGGAGACCCAACATGTCACATTGCCATCACGATGCGTTGGGCTTGCATCTTACCAACTTCCCGACCCTTACAACCCCTCACCCCGCCAGTGGATGCCCGG